CTACATTTTAGAAGATTTTAGAAGGAAAAGGAAACAAAAACGAGACGGCTCCCACCTGTGATTATAAAAATGCATTCGTTTCTGATAACGTACAGCTCCCATGTGAAGCTGGGTGATTCTGCCACCCATTCGCCAGCCTGGGCTGCAGTCTGCCAGCAGCGTGCCAGGCTCTTGGTGCCCACATGTTGAGTGCTCTGAGCTCAGCTGCTCGCTTGCATTCCTGCTGGAGTCGTGCTGCTGACGTGCTGAGCTCCTCACCTCTGTTTGGGTCCAGCTGAACTCATGTCTCTGAAGGACAATTGGCTGCTTTATGGCAGTTTGTTCATAAAACAAAATTGTCAGGCACGTGGGCTGGTTTGGATAAATTCAAGCATGCTCTTCTGTTCATCTTTACAGCATAGAACACCTCAGGGAGCCCTGTGAACACCACAATGGGGGCCTGACCTCCTCTGCAGGCCCAGCAGCTGGGTATTGGCCATGCTCACCAATGACACAGACCAGCAGACCAAGGGCTGTTGTCATTTCTGCCCCCTTCTTTTCCTTCCTTAAGTATGTTCTTGCTCAGGCTGGCCTCCCCTGCCCAGTCAATGCAGTCCCACCTGCAGCCTTCCTTCCTCTCACAGAGGGCAGGGAGAGCTGTACAGGCAATGAGAGCTGCAAAGCACAGCAGAAACAGCAGAAGAACCTGAAGGCCACAGAGTTTTAGAGAACAAAAGATCTTACCCTGCCTGAGTGCTGCGGGTGGGATGAGGGGCTGCTTATGGGGAAAGAGTGAAAAGGCAAATTGGAATGGAGCAGTTCCTGCCCATGGACTTCAGGCTGGTAGGTAAGCCAGGCTGGGTAAGGGATGTCCCTTCCAGTCTTGCCAGAGAAGCCAGATGCTGGCATCTGTCCCACTCCAATTCCTCCTTGCTCAAACAGTTTATAACCCAGTTGGTGAGGAAGGTAAGAAATCAAATCCACGACTGCCCTATAGCCAGGGAGGCAAGGAAGTAGAAGGCTAACTTAGCTAAATGACATAACTGCTGAGTGATGACTTTTGTCCACCCTCCCTCCTCAGTGCCTGAAGCTGCACAGCTAGATGGAAAACGAGACCTCCCACCCACCACGGTCACACCAGTGGCACTGCTGTCCCTTTGGTGTGAGCAGGTCCAGAGCCACTCTCCTGCAGTGCTCCCTGCAGCCCTCCTGCTCTGCTCCGGATGGAGGTGGCTTCCAAACAGGCACGTGGGCATCTCTGTGCCCCATGCTGTGTGCAGGCTAGTCTGCACAACGTGATAAACCATCACTTCCTTCCTCCTGTGCATCACTGCTGTTGCTATCTTGGGCTTGGTAGACCGGTGCTGGCTGTGGAACACACTCAGGTCCTGCCTGGCACATCCAACCCTTCCTTGCTGGGACAGGCACATTGCAGCCAGGTTTGCACCATTTCCATCGGGACTACTTTGCCTACTGCCAAAATAAAGGATGTACTTCATCAAACCTACCTTACATTTAGCAGACACTATCCCCTCTTAGCTCAGTGTTAAGATGGACCCATGCATCAAGCACTTGGGAGAGCGCTCTGCAACACACACCAGCTCTGCTCTAGAAGACCCAACTGCTGCCCCAGCCTGCCATGCTCTTTGCTTCCACACCACATACAGCCTACCACAGGCAACTTCTTCCACCTGGACTACCATCATGCTGAAAGAAATACCATCTGGTTCTCCTGAACTCATGAGTACATTCTTTCTACAGCAGAAGTTAATATACAAGGTAAAGGCCGCATTATAACAAAGCAGCACCCCCCCTAAATTTAGTTGTAAGTCCTGCACTTCGTAAGTTATGAGAGAGAAAAAAGAAGGGATCCACTTCTGAGTGATAAGGACAGTAAATGTTTAGCACTGCTTAAATTAGTTTTATTTTGGAGCCATTCAAAATTTAGACATTGGATGAATTCCTTACAGAAACAAGTAAAGAATTTGCTGGCACAATGAGGAATAATCTCCTACCCCAACAAATGAAACAGGGCTTAATTTGACTTAATTTCCCCAGTGGCGCAATGAATAACATTCTTTCCAGATAAGTGTTTCCACTGGCAGAGCCTGTGCTTTTGCTGTGCTCGACATCCCCATGTTGCAGACATTTTGCATAGGGCATTATGAGAAGAGCTTTGGGGATTCGAAGGCATTGCTGAGCTCTTCCCTGTAGTACTTCCCTCACCTGCCCATCCGTATGCTGCTACCCACACCATGCAAACCTGTGCAGCACCAAACATTGTAGCTCAGAAATGGGCCTTGTGTTCCCTTTTGGGTAATCCTGAGTGCACACACCAGTGCAGTAACCCACAGCAGGCAGGAGAAAAGTGGCAGGTAGAGGGTTCATGAAACAGGAAGCCAACACTGCTAATAACCAAGCACACTTTACTGCTAAGCACTGGCAGCCACACATAATAAACATAATGACACGTCCTGTTCCATCTGCACTTTAAGCCATGTAGAATGAAAGCTTCAGCATCCTTTGAAAAATCCTCTGGCACAAAGAAATGATTCAACCTAAGGCTGCTCTGTTCAACAGTGATGAAGCAATGAAAACCAGCATTTTCTTTTCTGCAGTCATTCTGTAGTCTGTTTTTCACTTTCAACCTTAAAGGATGTGAATTATCTGGGGGAAAGAAGAAAATTAAAAAAAAAAAAAAAGGAAAAAACAGAGATGACTGATCTCCACAGAGCACCTCAATACCAGGTAAATGTTCCTCTTACAGAAATGAACGTTAGCACCCTCAGATGGCATATTTCATTCTATGAATTGCTCAATTACTTCAGAAAAATGTAGTGGTATTGATGAATACTGGTGTAAACTCATTGATCTGTTCCCAGACTTACCAGTACACACAAAGGATGGAAACACTCAGGCACTGAGTGCCTACAACGTACCTTATTGATTCTCTGAAATGCCAAAATCTGCAATGTTTTCACACACACTGCATTGCAAAGTTTATAGAGAATGCCCAATCCAATTTTTGCTTTTTACAGAAACATTTTGTATGAAGAATTAAATCAGCTATAAATAATACGCATGGATTTTTGCTCGCGCTTATGGCTGCGTTTTACTCAGATGGAACACAACACAGATTTGTACAACAAGAGTTCAAAGCAATTTTTTTAGCTTAGATGAATATAAATTGAATAGACTTTCCTGCCTGAAGAATGCTGGGTCAGTGCGTCTGCCCAGGGCTCCTGAGCTCTCCTCCCTCTGCACAGCCTGTGCAGAAGAAGTGAGCCTGGTCTGATCTGCAGCATGCAGCCACTGTGCACACACACACCTTTTCCTGAATGCACATAAAAGTCACTTTTCTTGCAAAAAACTGGGACAACAGTAGCCAGAAAAACACTGGTGTGCCACAAAAAAAAAAAAAAAAAAAAAAAAAAAAAAAGGTTATGATTGACCTTAAGGCTGCTTTAAGCTACTTCAGGACCACACAAAGTTCAATGCAACTAATGCTGTAACTAATATCAGTGGGATTTCAAGGTTTGACTCTTCGCAAGGAAGCAGCTGACAGCCAGAATGACTTTGTTCTCTGGCTCATGCCTGTTCTCTCACTCTCAAATGAAGTTCTCACCGATACTGTCTCAAATTCCAAGTACGAATTTTTTGCCAGCGCAATTCTACTGCTTTCCTCAGTACTGTCTGCACTACCTGCAAGGCTGCTCAGAGCTAAGAAATAACTTTTTCTTAAGACCTTGACTTGTTTAGCTATTGTGAAGCAGAAGTCTCCTCCCGCCTGCACTGAGCATGCAGTAGCCAAGTTGCTCATACAGTTGTGCTCAAGAGCTGCTAAGGCACTGAAAAACCATACAAAGCAGATCTGAGTAAGTGCACACCATCACTGGCACCTGAACAGCTCAAGATTCGCTCCATGCTCCTTTTTTTTAATCGAGTTAATGGGTATCACAGCCTGACAGTGCCCCCAGAGCCAAAAGCTGCCCAAAGGGCCACTCTTCCTTCATTACACCTGCAACAGGCAGGAAGACAGGAAGCAAACACAGCCTCCTAATGGCTTTATTCCAGTGTTTCCATAGGCTTTTATCAAATCAAAGAGCATTCTGCAAGACAGTACATGCTGCTCTCTGCAGGGTAAAGGCTGTGCTTTTTTCCATCTTCTCTCAAGGTGGAGACTGATCCCAAACTGGCATGTTTTTTGCATAGCTGGGGACAGTCAGCTTCTGCACTCCAATCTCCTGCAGAGCTCAGAACTTACGTGTGTCGTCTTGCACCTCCTCCTTCCAAGCTCAGTATGGCCTGTGGGGCTGCACAACCATCCAGCAGGCAGCAGAGGGGCTCACAGCTCTCTGCAAGAGGAAAGAGAGCGTCAGCACTACATGGATAACGAAACAACCTTCTCATCTTGGGGTTCTGAAGAGGAGCAGGAAAGAGGGCTGGAGGGAAGGAAAGCACCTGAAGTCCTAAAGAGCATTTGCCTCCTGTCCGCTTTTCTCCATTACCAGAAAACCAACACTCATCACATACCTCTGAATACCAAACAGAGGAAACAGGTTAACGTGCAACTCTGTTATTCATAAGCTATGGGCTGGCCTTCTCTCCTAGAGTTCAATTAAATTCCTCTCCTTAAGCAAATAGTGTATTGTTAAAAGATTTCGGTTCAGAGTTTGGAAAGTTAATAAATGGACTCTGTACAAAGCTGCAGGTCCCAGCTCTAGGCAGGCTGCATTGGGTACACAGACATGATAATACTAATTAGATAACAGAACCACAATGTAAAACAAATGATGCCAAGATTAAAATACTATAGTGGGTTTGGAGGTTTTCTCCGTAGGGAGAACACAGGCCCATACACAAGTCTGGAGAGAAGTGAAGAACACCAAATCTAATTGAAACTACAGGGTGCTAGAAGGAAGGGGCACAGAAGACAGACGGTAATTACAGCAGCTGGAAAGCAGCCAGGACACTGAGGTTAGAGCAGCACACTGTCAGAAGCCACTGTGAGATCTTCTGTGATTACAAACCACCAAGACCTAGCTTTAATTCTCCTCTGAGCTCCATTTGGCAGCAGGACATTCTGTTGGCAGTCTGAGGCCCTGCTTCCATTTGGGCTGGAAGACAGAAGACACCAGTCTCTTTCCATCCCTTTCCTTTACTGCCAGGTTTCTCACACAAACGCTCATAGCACCTAGGGAGCCCCTGTTGACAAGTCACATCCCTGGAGCTGCACAGCTCTTGGTAGCCGTTCCCTTTAGCAAGGCTTCCTGCAGCTGCCAAAGCACTGCCCTGTGCAACCTTCTCTAAATGGGGCCCAGCCACCAGCTCCTCTGGGGACCAACAGCAGCCCATCGGCAGCAAACAAGCTACCACAGATTCCCTGCTCCAATCTTAAAAAGTCCCAAGCCCCATTTCATCAGACCTATAGCAGCTGAAGGGATCCTTTTGGTTGAAGAGAATGTGGATTGTGCTGCTCCCAGGATATGGCAGTTGCTTTTGATTTTTATGCTCTTATTACACATTAGTCCCCCAGGTTTGATTTGGAAAGGACACGGCTCTCAGTTGCACTTCGTTGCACATAGGGAAGATAACCCAGAGCCACTCATTACTGTCAGAACTGCAAGAGACTATCACACCAATTCAAACAAAATGCCAATAGCACAGTCTGCTGCTTACAGTACGTGTTATATCTAGATACAACAGCAAGGCAACAGTTTAAGCACACTGATTGTACCATAAACATTTAAATTGCTGTTAGAATTTTTCTGAAGGATCAGAAAGATGTGAGTAAATGTAAACCCACGTAATTGGGAACAACTGTAGACATTTGTGCTAACATCAGAACCCCAGAAAGCCCCAGGATCAAGGGCTGCAGCAGTGAAGAACGGGAAAACATTCTGCTCAGCACAGATCCTTGCCATTAACAACTGTATGCACAGAAGAGGCATTTCCTCACAATCAGAAGAGCCGCAGATTTGGATTTCCAAACAGCCCCACATTGCTTGAGGCCCATCTCAGCACTTAGCTGACTTGTGTTTCCTCTAAGACCAAACCATGCCTTTTGTCAGTGTTTTTATGATGTCAGCATAATGCTCTCATTATGTGCTTGCTGGAGTCGTGCAAGTTTGTGTGTGCTTCTTCATTAACTTCTTACCTACCTGTTTGTTTCCCTTTCTGCTTCAGAAGCAAGCCTCTTCCTTATCTTACAAGATCAGATCCACTTTAGAACAAGCATTTAAAAAAAAAAAAAAGCATTCTTTTATGAAGGAACTAAAACTGCAACTGCCCAGCAGCTACTTCTGTATACTTCTCTCCAAACATCAGCCCCGTGCATCACATAAAAGAAACATTTCATAGGTGGTGACATTACAGAAATATAAAATTGCCATGGAAAAGGATCCTTGGGCACCCCACAGAGCCCAGCGGTCAGAAGCATAACACAGCATAATTATATACAGGGTGGGCTGGAAGAGTTCTGGCATCTCAGTACTTAAGGCCCAATCAAATGTCACAGCAAGATCTCCAATGAAGGGTGCAAACCGCAGCACAAGGGATGTGCATTTTGTAGAGCTTCGTATCCCAGGTGCAGGCTTTGTGATGCTTTACTTGGAAACTCTCATTCCAGGCTGCTGGATGGGTGGAGCAAGCAGGAGCGGTACAAGTGAGCATTTCACAGTCTGGCACAAGATCTGTTCTGAAAGAAAGGGGCAAGACTTGTTATTCTGCACTTCAGAAGACGTTTGCCCTTGAAAGTGCTGTTGAGGGAATGCAGGTACTTGTGATAATCCAAATTCTGGGACATTTTTGACCCAAATACTGTTAAGGAGAATACATGAAGTGAAAGGTGATCCCATTCTCTTGTAAATATATACATTTATATTTAATCTTCTCTCTGCAAATTCTTGCTCTCAGGGTCTTATGTTTTGGTCATTTTAAAAATTGCATCAGGAACCAATCTGCTAGACAAAGAGCAAATCTCCAGGCACTTATTATTCAGCAATGGACTTAAAACTAATGTAACAATTCTTAGTTACCTCCAAGCAAAACAAAAACACATTTCCTAAAGTCTCCAGCTTACAAAACCAACGAAAAAGATGCATTTGTCTTCCTTAGCAGCAGCAGAGAGGAAGTGTACAATTTGCACTGTGAAGGAGATAGATAAATCACAGAATCAGGCTGTGCATCTCCTCGACTGCATCTCATTTTCATTGTTCCAAGCCCAGAAGCAAGGCTGCAGCACCCATAGAGGATGCGCATGGCTGTCCGAAAACTCCAGGAGAGCAAGTCTGAGCCTAAGGGACAGCTTCCCTACAGGTACTTATTAGTCTGTTTGGCTTTGTTTTTTCTCCCAAGGATGGAAAGAGAAACAAGGGTATCAGTACACATTTGAGCAGCAGGAAGTTGAAAAGCAAGTGGGAGAAAAGGACACGTTCAACTCTTATTAGACACTTGCTGCTCAACAACATGGTGTTGCCGTTCCTTTCTCCCAAAAATGGATGCAGCTTTCACTCCTGCCTCCAGCAATCTTACACTTTACTTCTGGGTTTCTTTTCAGGCTCGCTCTGTATTTCTCCCAAGGTGAAACTGCTCTACAGGAGGGCTTCCTTCCACCAGGGATGCTCTGGGAGCAGAATCTCTTACCTCAGCAGGTGTTAGGATGTAGCATTGGTGGAAGGCAGTCTCATGGAAGAAGCCCTCGGCAGACCATCCATCTAATCCTCACTTGGCTCTGACTCTGCGAGCAGACAAACCTCCGTACAGCTCTGCCAGGCAAACAGATTGGCTTGAGAAAAGACAGACAGGTAACCCAGACACAAAGAACATAAACCATGGGTTTGCTTCTTATGGTACCCAGCCAGAAATGCTGTCCTCACTGTCTGGTCTACAAGGAAGCAATATACCTTTTGCTGTGCCAACACAGTGACATTTCATGCAGGAGTGCATCAGAACGGCATCTGCTGCTGCAAAGGCTACGCTTCTATCTTAGCTGAAATCCAGGCCTAGTTTTGCCAAGTGTCCAGACAGGTTTCAAGGCAGTGAAGTCTACATTCTCTTCACAGGGATGCAAAGGGCCAAAGACCTCATTTTGGAAACACAGATAAATGGCATTTCAGATTTCTATATAAACTACAGGCACCAGAGATGCTGCTGCCTTGCTTAACTTCAGAGAATAAATTCAACTAAGCTTGTGAGTGGAAAGGAAGAGAAATGTCAAAAGTAAGAACCTGTAGGGAGCCATAAAAAGTAGGAAAGCTCTAGATGGAAGAATATATCTCCTTGTCCCCAGAATCTGTTGTCACATTTACTTTTCCAATGCATACTCAGGAGGCAGAAAAATCCAAAAATAGCAACCTCCTGTGCCAAGACCTGGGGGGGGAAAGTGGGAGGAAAAGGCGTCCAGAGACATCTAGGAGTATTAGCAGGTACAGAGCAGGAACCTGGTGCTGCATCCTTGTGATGAGGTGCAAGTCATGGGGCTGGAGGAGTATACAATACCTTCCTGGAAAAGGTGTTATCCTGCTTTGCAAGTTGGCTCTGTTTTGAAGAAATCTGAATCACCTTGAAATCAAGAAGAGACTAAAGGAAAGAAAAGGCATGCAGGCACCAACCACGCAGATGCTTTTCGCACTTTAACTTTGCCAAGTTAGCAGCCAGTCTGAGAGCAGTGGGATGGTAGAGTCTAGCCAAAGTGAAGAGACTGAAACCTGCTTTTCAGTCAGTAACAGGCTTCAAAATCTAATTAAAAAAAAAAAAAAAATTACATCTAATGAAGATATAAGCATATTCATGGAATTCTTCACCCACTCTGTCCCCAAGCAGCCTATAGCCACCGTGGTAGAACTCATTGGAATGGCAGGATACAGAGGTGGAAGAACAAGGACCGCTGAAACTACAAACATTTCCATGTTCCATCCTTGGTCTCTGTAAGAGATCTGAACACACATCATACCAAAGCCTCCAGAAACAGTAAGTGCTTCACAGCAAGCAGGTATTCTCAGGTGTATATCAACACTCAGATCACAGCCAAGTAACTTCCAGGCTCATACCTGAAATCTTGTTGAGATTAGCCAGCATGCAGCAGATATCCAGATTTATGCATGCAGGAGATGAGAGAAGCCAGTCTCCCCTGCTTTCCAGTGTTACTGCATGCAGAGCTTGCGCTGGTAACACACTGGACTGAGGTAACACACGAACTGCCTTCCCCCTGCAGGAGCTCAGGAATACATCTGGAGAGCTCCTGCTTTCATTCCCCAAAGCAGAGCAGCTTCATGCCCTATCAGCCTTGATGAGCTTCCTACTCCATCCACATCTCTAGAAGGAAAAGGCAAAGCAAAAATGACTTTGTATCAGCAGAGACAGGGTGTGAGACTGCACACCAGCTGCATCCCCCGTTACACAGGAGCTTCTCATACTGCCCCATGGGCCAATGGCATATGTTTCTCATTTCCTCTGGCTTCATGTCACAAGAGACCAGGACAAGGAACTCAGTTTCACCATCAATGGATGGTGGCAGAATTTGACTCAAAAAGAGCAAAACTCTGTAGCTGTTATCTTGACAAAGACTCAGCACAGTGTTAAATCATGGGTCCTCCAGTGGCTGGCAGAGGCTGCACTGCATGCACACACAGGATTAACCCACAGCTTACTCTGAGCTCCCCATGAAAAAAAAAAAAAACATTAAACAGCTACCTCTGTACATGCAGGTGAAAAACACAAGCAAAGAAATGCAAAAAGCAGAAGCATCTCTTCAGTACATGCAGCTGGGGCCAGCTGGCACACTGCTGCCATGGAGCGCGGTGTGGCTTTGGCAGAGTGGTGACCAAGAGGCAAACTCCCTCAGCTTGAAGAGCCCTGAAGCAAACAAAGCCCCCTGCTCAAGTCTGCCAAACCTTCTCTACTTGGATGGCAGCTTGCTCACACTTGGCAACAGTTTGGTGCAATTTGAAGCTGGCTCAGACCTAAAGTGAAAAGATTAATGGGATATTTGAAATCCTGCTCCTATTTTTCCTCAGATCTTACTTACGTAGAAGCTCTGATGTTGGTTGCTGAGCTCCTTAAAACACAATCTGCACAACGCGCCACAGTAAATAAACAGATTTCAGCAGCAAGTCCATTTAGAAGGAGTTTATTTAGAAAGCACACACATCACTAAAGAGAGCTTATTTCTTATCTAACTCCAAGCACTTAGGAGGCAATCCTTCAGGGGTGTTCTGCAGGCAGAGTGAGATTAATTCTGTTTGCAGCAATTATTTTCAGGATGTTCTGCACTCCCATTAAGAGCCTGGAAGTTCAGTTAGTTTCTCGGCTTGAGGATTAAAGAAAAGCTGGAGACATTAAGCAAAAGAAGAAATGCCTTCCAGCAAACTGACCCATAAGAGGAACCTTCCTGTCAGAGTGGGGCACCGTTGGCTGAGACCTGACATGCTGAGCCCTGCCTGGCACAGCCTGGACACGGACCCCATCCTGCCTGGGAGCTGGACCTGTCAAACCACCCCAGGGACACGTTGCACTTGTGCCACAAACATCCACCTTCAGCCTCCAGCAACACTTCAGGATGGAGAAACCTCTGAATTTGTTCTGGAAACCAAGGAAAGGCTGACATGCACATGCAATCCACAGAGCCCTCCAGGCCACATGAAGCCCTGCTTATGGTCCCCATGGACTCAGGGCTCACAAGAGAAACTCTGGATTAAAAGTCTACAGGAGAGATGGCAACTTTAGCTACTACAGATCTGTGATCTTCGCTGGCTGCTCACTCACCTGCACCTCAGTGTTTAAATGGGCAGAGACCTACAATCTTGGAGCTTCCTCCAAAAGTGAAAGTTCCTTCATCTCCCGAAGTCACCCTGTTGAGGCACACAGGGCTGTGGGCTCCCTCTGTGCCTGTTTGCCTGTGATTTTCTGTGCCAGCTCACCGATTCAGGCAGCCCCAGCCATGGTTCCCCAGTTTTTCTTCCACCAGCACCTGTGGTGGAGTCCTGAGAGCACCCAGCTGGTGCCTGGTTGGTGCTGGCTGTGTGTGTACTGAATTACCAGCCGCAGCAAACAGTAGCTGTTGTACAATCCAGTTTAATGCCACAATGCTGGTAAAAACATTGGAGAAACGAGGTGCTTCCTCTGCTTCGGGAAATCAATTCCACATGTACCCTGTTATTTCCCATTGCCAAACCCAGTGTTGTGCAAATATATTGCAAATGACAGCTCTTCATAACATGCACCAGAAAAAAAATGTCCATTCTTCAATTCACGTATAACCTTTGGCCTATGAGAAAAATGGTTTATGCCTGGCTGGAATGAAGTGACAGCCACAGAGTTCTGAGGAACTGAGGTGCAGCCCTACAACCCAGTGGCAAAGCAGTTCACCCTCATGGCAGCCCTTTTCCTGGAGACAACATGCAACTGTGGAAGCAATCGGCATGATCAGCACCAACCTGGTTGTAAGGGTCACACAGAGCAACAAGAGCTCTACATGCTGTCTTTGGGCAGTAAAATCACAGTGCCTTGGCACCTGTCCTCTGGAGGCAGTTTGGGCCCTGTAGTCCTTCTTTCACCATAATATCACCTGATGAGCATTTCTTAGTAGTGCAAAAAAGCTAGTTTAAGTTCTGATGGGATTTTCTATACACAAACAGCTAGGATGCTGAGCATGGTTGTTTTCCTCACATTATTCTATCAGTAACTTTCCTGAAAGCCCCGCTGGCTTCCAGACATAAAGCTTGCAGCACTGATACAGCACTGCATTGCCTGCAGCCAAAGAGGCTGAGCTGAGGTCTGCCTTCCTCTCATTTATTCTTGGCATCTTTACACATTTGAATATTTACTCTAACAAGTGACAGCCATTCAGACAAACCCAGTTTTGCAAACAAAGCAAGTAAGCCATCTTGAAGACATCTCCAACTACCCTGAAAAATCAACTCCAAACCCTCTAAAAGCAGATCTCACATTATTATGACACTTCAAGACACATTGCAGCACTCCTGACTGCCTCTGGGTGATGCTTTCTAGGAATTTTTGGTGCTATGAGCCTTTTTGCCATCTTCTAATGCAGCTGTGCTCTGTCACCTCACAGTCATGATGTATTTCTCAGCTTTTGCTCATTCCCACAACTTGGCAAATACATTAGTTTGTATGTTGTAGGCCACTCAAACCCTGAGAGAAACTTTCCAAACTTATTTCTACTGCTAAAATACCCAAACATCCCATGTGCAAGGAAGTGCAGGAGCTGAAGGAATGATGCAGAATTACTTGTCCTAGGCTTCCTGAAGACACAAAGGACAAGTAAATAGCAAAACTTAGCTGGGGGTGCCTGTGCAGTCCCTTGTGTATGCTCCCTGCTAAGACCAGCTCATCAAGCATAGGATTTTAGTTAAACAGGTAAAGAGTAAAACAAATTGCACAGAAATTCTACTCACTCTGTTTTTACTCATCTCTCTTTTCTTCCATATCTTGGGTATTCCAGCTGCTGAAAGCCTCTCTTAACCTTCTGGTTTCCAGTGATATCTCCAAGCACTGCTGCCCATTTCTACATACACTCCCATTTCTAGGAGGGCTCTTTATGTAAACCAAGTGCTTTTGAGCCTATTTCCTTAATCATGCTAGCCTGGCAGTTACAGCCATTCATCCACTGTTGGTTCTCACAGTTCCTGAAATTCTTTAAGGCAGTCATGTCTTGATTTTCCTGCAATAACAGGCTGCTCCAAACTTGTCTGTCCACTCAACATGACATGTATTTCCTCATCTAGAAGTCACAGATTGACTCCTGAATTCCCCATAACATTCAAAGCCTTTACTGTGAACTTCCTGCGTTGTGAAGTTGTCAACAGGCACAGCTCTTTGTCACAGCAGTACAGACACACAACGAATGTCCCCAGAAGGTGCATAAGTCCTTAGCTGTGACAGTGAGTTATCTCTTCACTAGAAAACATGTGGGACAGTATCATTCAGTGATAAGTTTGTGCCAATACGGCACTGCTGGGTGGTCAAAGCTCTAGGTGGAAACTTCTTAGGGTCCCAAAGAAAAAGCTGTCTGTATAAGTGAAATTTCTGGAAACTACATTATGCTTTGTTTTATGACTGTGCTGGAAAAAGAGACAGAGATATCCTTTTTGCTGGGGAACAGAATTCATCCCTGCAGTTATCCAGACAGCACTGATAAACATCTGCTTCTTTCTAAAGGGCCCATGCAAGGACAGCCACAGAGATGTTTGTCCAGAGCAGGACCTTGTCACAACCAGCGCTGCTCTAAGCTTTGTCAGACACCGATCTTCCAGCCCAGACCTGAAGTCCTCCAGCATCCTGCAGCAAAGCTGATCTCAAGTATTCACAGTGGGTGATGAGGTCAATGACCCCAAGCCTCTCATCCTTTGTGAAGCACCCAGTCAGCTTGCAGAATTGTCTGAAAATTCTGGTACAAAAAGTCAGAATGTCACACATTACAAGTGCAGCTTGTTAGCAGAGGTTGTTCACAGAGCTTTAAGCTGGTAATAGACATGAATAATTCTCTGGATGAGGTAAAACATGCATACACGTGGCAACCTATAACTATGCTCAGAGCAGGGTTATTAGTATTGTTAATTATTAGTATTATTGTTTAGTGCACCAACCGTATGAGAAAAGTTGTTGAATGTGCTCTTTGAAACAAAGACATAAGAGAACAAATCTGCCCAGAGCCTGCTGCAAGGGACCCACTGAAATCTACCAGTTGTGTTTCCTACATTATCACCACCTCAGAAGCATCACAAAGGCCTAGAGAAGGGTTTCCCAAATGGACTTTTCAAAAACCAGCACTGATCCTTCTCTCACACGCTCTGTGATGCAAGACCTGTTTGTATCAATCAATAACTGATTCGCTTCCTTCTAACTTTCACACAGTATTTAGAAGAAAACAAACAAACAAAAAAAAAAAAAAAAGACATCCAGAAGTGGTGCTACTCATCACTGGGAAATAATTAAAATCCTTCTGTGCTTTCCTTCAGCCTTCTGGCTACTCATTTACTAAGTCAGCTTTAATGTCTTCATGAGTGTGCGACCATTAAGAAACCTTAGGAATGGTAAAAAAAAAAAAAATCCAACAAATAAACCCATCCTGCAGTATCCTGATGGTCACACTTTCCTCTTCACAGAGCATGGATACTGAGTTGAACAAAAGCTGCAGTATTACAAGCTCCATGTAAGACCTTCACAAGGTTTTGGGATTCTCTTCGCTGCATTCACAGTTGCCATCAAGTGGTGGCAACCCATCTAGAAATGGGCAGTCCCATTACAGCACATCCCCACTTCAATGGCAAAATAAAAAGAAATACATAAGAAATAAACCAACAGACAGTGCACCAAGTCACAGAAGTTTATTGGGCAGCAATGCCACCCTTGCAGGAACCACAGCTATGTCATGAAGGATGGGACTGTGTATCTCAGTGGTTACTCCCATTAGCAATTAATATGTTCTCAAGATGCAGATCAGCAATTCATAAGTCATCTGGAGAGGGAAAACACAGGCTCTGATATACGTAACATGCATATTATCAGGCACGCAGTGCTCAGCATTGCTCATTTGTTTTGTTCACACTCCATATGCAGCCTGTGGCTCACAGCAGCTCTCACACCAGGAGCACCAAGAGCTGCTGGTCACCACCCAGCACTGCCACAAACCCAGCACCCACAGCACGCGCTCCTGGATGGGAAAGCCACTGGAGGAACATGATGGACTGCAGAGAGAGGGAGCGCATGAGCTCTGCCCTAGGCAAGCTTTCACCTGCTCGCTAAACAGCTGCACAGGTTTTATGTGACTTTTTACTCCGGAATGCAGAAACAGTTACCATAGCAATTTCCACATCACTTGGTACTTGCGCTGCCTCTGAGAGTCGGAGCACCTTTTTATAGAAATTCTTACCGGTGCACCACGTGCACTTTTGATTTTTAGAACCTTCGGAGGAAAAAAAATCTTACGCTTCCTGAGATTTTAGAATCCTGTTGAAAAGTGGAACCTTTGTTTCAAGGGGGAATGTGGTGTTTGGCACAGAAGAAACATTGCATTTCAGAGGAGAGAGAAGAAAGCAGCTCGTTCCAGAAGCATTCATCATCTGCAAACCATCCACAAAGGGTACAGAAACACGTCTGCCAAAAAGAAGCCCCTTGCTCAAAGATACAGCATGCTTAAAGAGAAGTTTTGTTTCCATGGTGACTGAATTTGGAGTAGGAACATCCTCTGCATCAGCCATGGCTAGATCAAAAACCCAGTTGCTTTTGTTCACTCCATGAGCTGGGTTATTAACCCTGCCTCATCCAAACATCCTGTTTGTATTCTTGTCCCTTTTGCTGTGCACAGCTTCTCTTTGTAAATGAAGCAAGAAAAAGTAGGAAGGTCCAAATAAATCTGAACAGCCCGATCATCCTGTAATATATATATATGTATATATTCAATCCTAATGATTAGAAATAATGCTGTTTTCCAATATAAAACCAGAATTTAAAAACACCATTTTTGAAATGGCGTCAGCAAGCATTGCACTAAAGACAATTAACAATAACCAATGATGTAGAGGTTGTCCTTTCCTCATGTCTCAGACACGAAATCTCATCCTTCACTTATCTTATCCATCTCACAAATTTCTACAGAATGGGAAAAGAGGGATTCTCAGCAGCCAGCTTTGAAGGGGTGACAACCTGGGACACAGACACATGTAAAAAAAGGTAAATTAAGGCAGAAGGGCCTCAGCAGACACATTTTGATTGGCCATCTGCTTGCTTACATTCTGACCTTCCCTACTTCGAAGATTTGGCAGTGGTTTCACCTCAGCCAGCCAGATCACCACCATTTAGCCCAGTGCCAGGACCGGACCCCAGGCAGCAGCTGCCAGCTTGAGCATCTCACAGGATGCACTGCCAAAGCACCACACGGTGCACACCATGAAAGCCATTAACAGTGTGAACGCATTGCTTTCTGCTGCTCCTTACATTCACCTGAGGCAACGAGGTCACACTCACTGTAGCCCCAATTTCTGATGCTGATGAGATAATTTGCTGAGCCACCACAGCTGCTTCAATGGAGGTTAAATCTAGATGCTGTATCCATGGATCAGTGCAGCCACACTTCCCAGCGAGCACTCCCTGCAGCTTCCTACCCTGCAGCATAAGGAGAGGGGACATGACAGCACCATGCTGTCACCACTTTGCATGGAAGGCAATTGCTTTGTCTGGGAAAAAAAAAAAAAAAAAAGCATTCAACAGATTTGCCAAAGAGCAACTTCATGTTTTCATTCCATAAAGTCACACAGACAACTCCATGCCAGGAACTGCATAATTTCTCACAGTGTGACTGTGGTGTCATCTGCTGGAAGGAGGGAACACCCATTCAACAGAGCTGAGAGCCAGTTCAAGTAGAACAGACAAGTTCCCTCCACTATTTTTCAGTGACAAAGATTTGCACAGAGGTGACGCTGGAAGCCCCAGCTTTGTGCCAGAGCAGCACTGACAGGCTGGTGCTGCTGGGGCTGCTCAGCACCGTGTGGCTTCATGAAGTGGGGACAGCAGTGGGACCAGTGCTGCTCTGGGGACATGCTGTCACATGCAGAATGTCATTCTGCCACTGAAAAACAAGGGTGAGTTTCTGCATCTGGTTTTTGACAACAGCCACTGGAAGCAAAATCGGACAGAGCCATGAAGGCAACCAGCACCTTCTGGTATCTGCATGGAAGCTATGGGAATAGCGTGGGAAGGAGCAAGAAGTCTATGATAATTCCAAACACAAACAGAATTCTCTATGAAATACAGAAATCAGAGTAAACTTAGATGCATATTCAGCAGAAACAGTTGCTCCAGTGTTTCTGGCCAACATATGTTAAGTTGCACAACTGTCAGCATAGAGAACTTCAATTTTTTTTTTTCCCCAGCAAAGAAAGTGCTTCAGTACTTGTTCCTGTATAAAGAATGCCAGCTGCAAGCAACAAACTTGGGAAAACAATGGGCATTAGACACATACACCTAAACATACCTGAAAAATCAGAGCTTTCATTGCCCAAATTGCCCAACACTTTCTAGTGCAAGGCTCCCCATCAGTTATTTATACCACTGCCAGGCCTCAGGCTGAAAGTTTACATGCTGGGTGTATGCCTGGAGCAATTTCTTTCATCTGTTTTATTTTAATTTCAGCTAAGACAATACAGTTGTTTCTGAATTAAAAATGAAGAAACAGAGCATTTCTTTGCCACAATAAAAATGCCTCCAATCTCAGCCTTGCCTGCCTCTGCCACTCTGCAATTAGGAAAACAGCTCAAAGCTTCAGCACCTTGTGGCAACAAAGCAAGCTCATTTTATGCCATCTCCAGGAAAACCCACCCAAATTTAGCTACTTCACTTGCTCTGTGAACAATAACACCTCAGCTGGTATCTGTCCATATCAATGAGAGTTCAAGATCCATTTCCTGAAATGCAGCACTCCACACTTCGGCCTTCAGATGTAATGTTTTGTAATGTAATGTAATGTCTGGACAGCAGCACTGTCCAGAGCCCCTGCTACATACAATCAAGCAGGGAGAAGCCTGGTGCTGAATAAAACATCTCCTGCCTAGAGCTCTTGGCTCTGATGGCCTCTACAGCACTACCCTGCCCTGTCAGTAAGCATTCAGCTGGGATGACTGGAGAAGCAAACAAAGAAAATACAAAAAGCACAGAAACAAGCGAGTCCAATGAATCTGGAAATTCAAAAAGCTTTTCACCAGTGTCTGAAAATGGGAATTCCTCCTATCTGGTTTCAACAGAACCTGCTATGGAAGAGACAACTGAGATTTAATTTTCATTTTCACTTGAAGCTGAACAAAACGATGATCCAATATTAAGCTTGTTTACAAAAGCTAAGGCTTGAAGTCCTTCCAAAAACAATTTTGTTCTACTCTTGAGTCAAATTCAATGCAATGTTCTCCCTCAGATGTTACCCACATGACTGTTTACTAAGTCAGATCTTGTGATACCACCAGCTTGATTCAGCAGATGTAATTAATGGGTCTGCTCTTGGCTCACACAATGGTGCGTGCCTAACAAAGCAGAACAAAGCAGCCTCTAGAGATTCGTGCCTCTCAGCTGGCCACTGAATGTAGAACCAGGCAGTAAACTCCCAGGCAGCAACAGCTACACGAAGTAAGGCTTAAGAAACACTGGATATTAACTGCTTCTGCTCCCAAAATAAGAAACTGCAGGATGAAAGCTTGGTTCTCCTCATTTCTTTGTGAACTTGTGGCTTCTTGTTAAGGACTCCAGCTGCAAGCATCAGCTTGAGTCCTGTTACTTGCATGATATCTTAAAGAACTTTCCTCAGAACTGCAACACAGAACATTGAGAGATACAGTAATTATTTCTTGTTTCTGAGAAGCATTTTCAGGTCTGGAGGAAAGGTTCATTATGTTACAACGTACAGGAAGGAGATATGGCCCTTTCACCAGATTCACGACTGTCATCCTTAAGAATATCAAATGAGATGCCTTTCTTCAGCTACGCTACTTATCTGCAAGCAAGGGCCACAACTCCACCACAAGAGAGCCAACCCCTAGGTGTGTGCACTCATTCCTACTTAGCTACCACAAAAGCCCACATCCTTGTCTCACAGCCTCTCTTCAATCATGTTAACTGAGCTCCTTATGGCTGCCTATCTGAAAGAGTTGAACATGCAGCAACTGAATTCAGCCCACCCAGCATCCATACGCCGGATTCACCACCAGTACTGTGAGGCAGGAGGCTCTCAAAATGGTACTTGGATAGAAACAAGCTTTGCATTTTATCGTACCCTATGACACAGCCAGTTGAGAAGCACAGGGGTGTCCGTGTCCTCCACAATATAGGTGCAATCTCATTAGCCTAACAAGTAGGTAACAAAACAAGTATTTCTTCTCAGCCTGAGTTGAGCAGCATTCAAGTTTTCTTTCCAACTTTTCATAAGTTGCATGATGGAAAAACATCCATCAAAAGCAGAGCTTAATAAAGGCTCCCAATAATGATGCTTTCCTCTTCATCCAAAAACTGATACTTAACAATGACTAGGGGAAAAAAAAAGATGGCATGCAGATACACAAATAGAGAAGAAAAGATTTGAGACATTGTGCACAGGTGAAGAATAATTGAGACCAAGTTATAAACTGTTCATTTCTGTTGAAATAGAAATTGGACAGATAAATATGATGAAAAAAGATGTTTCACCAGAAGCATAATGACAAAGGATCAACACAATAGAAAGTTGGTATAAAGGAAGCAAAGAAGATTGCTTACCTATATCAGAAGATTCCAGTTTTGCAGGGGAAAACATCACCGAGAAGGGATCTCCAACCAGAAACCCTTCCCTGCTAGGGGTCAGCCCTTCAATGAGGTCTAAGAGAGGTGCAGCCAGGCTCCAACCCTTCCTGTCTCACAGCTGAACTGCCTTCACCTGTGCTCTCAGGGCTGACCAGGTCCTGCCCCCAGGTGCTCAATCAGTGGTTCAGGCTGGGACTCAACAGTTCCCATACAAAGCCCTCTGTGACTAACTCGTTAGTGCTTATGAAAAATAGGAGTTATTAATATGATCACCAGGGCCTCAAAGCACCCTGCAGAGCCTCCTGACAACTAGCCTTCCTGAGGGATGAGGAAGGGACAGCAACAAGCAATTTGGGAACAGCATTGCATCACTCAGCCCCACCAGAGCCCCCAGAGTGCAAGAAACAAGACGGCTCCGTGGGCTGTTACGTCTCCAGCAGCACTGTCAGCAACTGGCACGGGTAGCCAGCAGCCCTGCATCAGCCACTTCTTGTCCTAAGATCCATGAGTCCTTCCAGTCTCCTTCCAGTTACTCCAATCCCCAGAGCATGGTGATTTTCTGCCAATTTTGCATATGCTGCTGTTTCCAGAGATTCCAGTTCAGTGTTTACACGTATTTCACAATGATCGCTGCTAACAACCATTGAGAGATGGTAATTATCGTGTTTCAATTTCCTACAAACTGCTGGCTAAGGCTGCACAAAAAGTCCTGAGTGCCAGATGCTCTGATTTATGTTATTTATTCTTTCAGCATTTATACAGAGCCATAGGTACTTTATGCATTTTGTCATTTTAAATCATAAATGCTTTCCCACCCTAAAATTCTGCCACCTGCCTTGGCTGTTACCTTCACTGCTTTATCAGTCACCAGTCAGCATCCCAGGCTTGCCAGCACCACAGCTGATGTACAGTTCAGGGAACTGCAAATCCCAAACAACAAGCACGTCTCAGACAAGCTGACTGTCAAGCAAAGCCCGCTTGGTGGGCAGCCAGAGTTTTTGCTTGGAAATTCTGTCACTGGTCTTGGATAGTGGAAATCAAGTATATGAAATACAACACGAAATCAGCATTCACTTTTTTGTGGTTCAAATGACTTAAACATTTAGTAGACCGAAGCAGGGAGTCTGAAATCTCCTGTTTTTATTTCTCCCCTTGGCTTTATCTCAGCTGACTGAATAACATGGGCTACTTTGGCAGATCAGTCACTGAGAAATGCAGAGGGACCATGAGCTGGAAGTCTGTCTTGAGTACACATAGGAAATACCAGCATATTCCTTTCTTGTTTTGAAGTATGTCTATGAAGAAAGACTCTTTGCTAACAGCCAAAAATAAAAGGAAAGTAGAAGGTTATCAGTCTTGAAAAGGCCATTTGAATTTGCAGCTCAAAATCAGCAAATGTCCAAGTAGACACTTTGGGAGCTTTTCTGATCAGAGCTGGAGCCCTTTGCTGCAACAGGATCCACCTCCTGCTCCAGGATTAACGGAAACCATTAGCAAGCCCTTCAAATTTGGTACCTTTCTTCACGGCTGAGAACTCCTGCAATGGATCCCATGGCACAACAGCAAAGTGCCTCCCAACCAGCTGCAGACCCAGCCAACACACAAGTGGGATCCTCACCATCTGCTGCCTGGAGGCAGCTCAGCAGGACTCATTTCATCAAGAAAACGATGAAGGCAACTGTTGTGTTACTCACATTGTATTTAACTACAAAACCCCCAACACCTCCCTTTCTTCCAAGGCCCAGGCTTTGAGGCCAGAGCTGCCTGCTCCCCTTGTGCTGTCACAGCCCTGGTTCCAAACAGCTCCTCAGCACTCTGAGTTAGGGGCAACAAGCACAAAGTGAGATCAGAGGAATGTGACAAGCATTTCAGCATTATTAAGCATATCCAAATATTGTATTTATGGACTACAATTTAACTTTTCTTCTTTTATTTGTTGTAGTGTTTACTAAGCCATTAGATTAAAAAAAAATCTACTGGCAAGGAAAAAAGCTGGGGGCTGCTTCATTGAGACTAGCAGGCATGAGGAGGGTCCAGTTTTATTATTTGCTGTGCCACTTAGCTTCTTCTTTGTCACCAGTGTTGCTCGTCACTGACATACAGTGCATCTACCCAGTGGCCAACAGAATTGTTTCTATGCCACAGGACAAAGAGACATGATCACACAGGTTAGTCATAAAGGCAAAGCAACAGCTGACATGTTGTTTATATGGAAAATGGTAATTTGAAACAGCTTTAGGAGATGAAACATTCTGTATCAGATAACATAATCCTCAGTCTGTGCTCCTCCCAGGCTAGTAGCTCTTGCTGAGAATCTCACCTAGGAAGAAAACTTGGCTGTCTGGAATAAGTGCTAATTAACTAAAACTCAGTTTTGAAAAAGAGTATCTGCACAAGAGAGTTTGGCAAATCTTTCTTTTCCAAAGCATTTCATTTATCTGAACAAAACACTGCATTTCAGCTCTGATTACAGTTTGACCAGCTATATTGCTGCTTACCAGGGAGATACAAATCTGCACCACAGAAGCAGTGAGACTGACTAGATTACCTTTCTTTTTTTTCATTTATTTATTTGTATTTATTTATTTATTTGGTTTGGAAGTGCTGTAAGTCAGCTGTTTGCTCCTTCCTTCGGATGAGAGCCATTCTGGACACAGTTTTACAGTCCGACTGCAAATCCATTGCTGAGAGAAGCTGCTAATGCAGAGCCTCACAGCTGTACTGTGGTCTGAATTAACATTTCTGGGTCTGCCAAAGACGTAGAAACATTGCTACTCATTTAATAGATGACAAGAAGGAGTTTTCCAGGCAGGCAAATTCAAAGCTTTGTGCAGATGCTATTCCTTCAATTTTTTTCTGCGAACGTCAGCAGGTAGAGCAGAGAAGCATGACAGACGAAGTAGCTTCCCAGCCTAAGCCATATCCTCACAGATGGGTGCCTGGCTTGCAAAAGAAGAAATTTTTATTTCCATTAAAGACAGCATTTAAGAGACTCTTGGTGCAAACTTTAGGCAGTTGTTAGAGATCACCAAGGTTAGTTGTGGAGAACAGAGAGCAGCACTAAGAATGTGTTCATGCTACACAGCAAGGATGTGAGGGCAGTTTCTGGACAAGCTGCAAACAAGTCTGTCATTTATTCAGGCATCCTAAGAACATCCTTCAGTTGCTATGCGGGGGTGGCAAGGGAGCAAAAGTAACCTCCTAAGGTTTGGAGTCAGTGTAGTGATGGCTGAGACTTCCTCTGCTCTGGTTCCGTGACACTGGGAGATGAGCCTGGCGTGTGCCCATGGTTGCACATCTCACAGCCATCAGCAAAGCACTCTGTGCTGCACAGGACAGCTTCCTGAATGCTCCCATCTGCTAAAGGACATCCACTGCTGTTTTCCTGGGGTCTTTTACCCAGCAGCTTACATCACAATATTTGACACTACAAAACAGAAAGAGATTATCCACTTTTTCAGTATCACAATACGCTTGTTTTGTCCTTTTGAAAATCCTCAGCTACTTCATGAGCATTCACTCCATATTTCCCACTGTAAGTACGGTTTGAGTCACACAGCTTTGCAGAGGGAGCACATTCCATGGCTCAAGGAGTTGAAACCATCCTTGCCTCAGCATAGCTCGACAAAATCCACAGCTACCAAAGCTTCAAGATGCTTGTAGTTCCTGCAGGTGCCATTCTCCACCTTGAGGAGGGAGAAGACACAGCACACACATATTTGCCAACCAGATCTTCCTCTAGTGCGGATATAAAAAGATGGCTCAGAGCTCAGCTCTGCTCCCGTCAGGAAAGGCTGTTGCTCCTGTATGAATCTCTGGGGAGCAGACAGCACCTCCCCAAGAATGCAGGCTGTTCATTCAGCAGCGTTGCTGTGGAAGGGCTGTTCCTGCTGCACTGTACATTGCCATTCAGCCACTGTGCAGCAACTGCACCTCTGCATGGCTCCAGCTGCTTTCTGGTGCCCTGCAGGCAGGCAGGACATGGCTGCTCTTCCAGCACAGGCTTAGCAGCAGGCTCCTCTCCTACTGGGGCTGCAGATGTGTTCATCCAGACAGCAATAGTTGGCTATATTGGCTAATAGTTGGGCATGGAGTTATGTTTTACTGATCACACGTTAGCACCCTCTCTCCATTTTCAGGAAAAAAAAAGATGCTTCCCATATGCAGGAGCCAAATCCACCAACCAGAAATGGGAAGAGCAGAGTAAAACACTGCCTGCTTCTGCATGTGCTAAAATCATTAGTGCTCCACTTTCTAAGAAACGTTCCTTGGGACTGACACAAAATGTTTTCAGTTAGATTCTGGACTTTCATTACATGCAGAAGTTACAGCTGTCCCTTCACATTTCACTCCACCTTGCCGGTTTTGACAGACTGTCCTTGGAAAATAACACCTATTACAGAGTGGTGTTCCACGATGGTGGTCATTCCAGAGTCACTGCCTCCTTGTTTGTTGTTCTTCTGGTTAAGTGCGTGAGCATTTACAAGAGAAAAGGCTCTGGATCAGCCTCCTGCTTCCCTGACACCCTTGTGCTGTGTCAGACACTGCAAGCCTGCTTGCTTAAGTATCTATCAAGAAACCTCATAGTATTGAAGAGCTGCACAAGCACCTCTTGGGCTGTTACAGACCAACTATCTACATAAAATTTCAGTTGCAGAATGAGCTTCAGTTTTCACTATGTCAAATCTCATTGTACTTTGCTTTCAGAAGCAGAGCAATAGTTTATTTTGTCACAGGTTGATGAGACGCCACGGCCAGCACTCCCCTGACCCACATACTCCCTTCTGAGATGTGCAACAAAGCAGCTGAAGACCTCTATTTTTAATTACTTTGTAGCATGCAATTAAAATAAACTCAAGGTAAAATGAAGGGGGGAAAAATAACTCTTGAGAAAACCACAGGTTGCTGTACTTCTTTCTTAATAAAAGTCAAATTGTGGCCCATTGCCTGGAGTTGCCCCTCCAGTGTGAAAGCCATGCTACATTATTTGATTTTTGGACTTCCCAGGAGCTCACAGAGAAGCTTGAACTCTGTGAGTTTAACTCGCAGAAAATCTCACAGAGTCACAGCAGCAGCTCTCATCCGACCAAAGGCAGCTGACCCAGCAGCTCCCCACTGCTTACCCTCTACAGGTTCCTGGTGTCCACCTTCTTCTCAAAGTGACAGAGCAATGTGACTCACCAGTACCACTGATCATTCCTGCTCCATTTGTACTATTGCTTCTTTTTTTAAAAGCAAGAGCATGTACCACTGATTGTTACTCTGAGATGTTTGGACTCTGATGCCCTGGTACAAAGCATGCAGACATACTGAGCTGCAAAAAACTTGAGCAATAGATGCATTTCATAATCTTGAGAAGTTACTTATTAGCAACAAAACCAACAGGTGTTTCATGAATATATAGACATAACAGATGCTGACAGAAGCATCAGCAAAGTTCACACCTGATAAAATGATTGATTGATCTCAGGGTAAAAGCAATTGCTTCCTTTCAAGGTAAGTGACATGAGTTAATCATATGTTTAATGTTACCAAGTTAATTTCCTGTCGTGTTTTTTTGTTTGTTTGTTTGTTAACTTTTGGTTTGTTTTTTAAATCAGTAAAGACACTTCCTCTGAATTATTTTTATTTGGAACCAAACCAAGACACGATCCTGGAGTTCCATATCTTCCTAGAGACCTCTCAATCACTGCACTGTTATTTTAACAACACAGCAGTTTGCCTAGCTTGGACCAAGTTAGTTCAGTTTTTGGACCAAGTTAGTTCCCCTATTTGATGACAGTTGTCATAGGCCCTGAAAGCACCCAGTTCCAGAGGCAGGCACAGTAAGTCTAACTGCATTCTGTTGTTGCTCTGCTCGTGTCAGCTTGTCACCAAGTTCTAAGAACGAGGTCTGTAATTCTCTTCCTATCCCTCAATTTAAACAAATCATGAATTAACCACACCTGATTTAAACAGTCAGTTTTTCTTTTCCTTGTAAATTTCCTTGTAATGCCCAAGCACTGTGAACACAGTCATCTCCAGGAAGAGTGGTGCCATGTGAAACCAAACACTCACTGTTCTGTTGTCACTGCTGTTAATATCCTGAACATGACATGCTGGTCAACAGCTTCCCCTGGGAGAGACAGCTCTAAGAGAAGGAATGCAATAGAGCAGAGTGGAATGAGGGGGTATTCACAATTCGTATGTATGAGAAAACCCTGTGGTTGTAAAGGTTGGAAAACAGAAGTGATCTTGCTGCTACACACTGGTTGGCAAAAGGCAGCAGTGCGAAACGATGCTGCAGAAGTGAAGTATGCAAAGATGCTGCAGTACTACAGGGCAGCTGTGGAGAAAACTCGTTAGCTGATCTCAGGTTTTTGTTTCAGAGATCAGGGTTTCTCAGCAGGCAACAACCGCACTCAAAAAAAGCCTCTATGTATTAACAGTGCCACCCCTGCCTCCCTGTTATCCATCAGGAAAAAAAATCAAGTCAAAGGCTCTATCAGATTTGTCAAAACAAGAGAATGCTCCTGCATGTCAGCCTCATCAATCAGCTGTTGACACTGCAGGAAATACAGCATTAGGTTTCACGTGGATAACAAACACTTTTTATGCCTGGCATTGATTTTTAGCTTTTCCTATTAATAATACTTTAGACCAAAAAGAAAGAAGTCTAAAGCAAGGCAGAGAGAAATGAGAGTCTTAACGAGCGCGTTCTGTTTGATCTTGGTGACAGCTGGTATTGGCCCTATCCACTGATGGAGGCCAGCTCTGCTGCCCAGGCCTGCTCTGTGGTAAGGTCTTAAAAGGCCATCCATTGCAAATTCTGCTTTCACAGTTTATCACGCTGAAAAGCATGATAAATCTCACGGTTTGGGGATTCCTACTATTATATCAGTGATCACAGTTAATTAGAAAAGTAGTTCTGGGGTTCACTCCTCCAGTAAAAGAGATGACATGCCCAGAAACTTCACCGACTCAGCTCTGTGGTTACCTCAGCCTGACTCAGACCAGAAAGACACTGTAAAACCACCATTCCCAGCCCCACAGGGACATGGGGCTTCTCATGGCACCCATGCACTGAGATGCATGGCAACCTGCTTCCCCTCCTGGCAGGATGCAGGCAAGTAATTAATGCAACTGGATTTCCATCTGTGTACAAAGGAAAATGACTACCTGACAACAAAGGCAAACGATCAGTTAATGTTTGTAAAGCACTAAGACCTGTTATGCCAAATGCTGGAAAATCGAGTAATCCCTCTGAGTGCCACGCCACCCCAGTGCCAGTCAATCACACGGCTGTAGGCTCTTGCCTTTCCTTTGTACACACTCACCTTTTTCATCTTGTTTTAATTCACACACAGTTTATTTTGGTAGAAATGAGGTATTTGGTTTGTTTGCTTGGATTTAGCGAGGCTTATTTTTGTTAAGCCACAGAAGAAGGGAAATCAATGCCATACATACCTTCTTCCCTCACCACATATTTGCTTATCTCTGGTGTCTGCTCTAGAACCAAGACAGGCTCCAAGAAAACACATGTTCAAGTTAGTTCCTGAAAATATTGACCAAGTAACGATAATACACAAAAGTGTGCCTTTCTGGTGAGACAAATGCTTGGCAGTTGTTGTCAGGCTCTGTAGGATTGTTTCTGCCTCCTTGTTTTCATCAAGGAGCTGCTGTGCTCCAGCTGCTGCAGCCCCTCCCCACCACCTCCAGCACCCATCTGCTTCATACAGCCATCCCATTTCCTGCAACCTGAAACACAGAAATCTGCTTTTGTTCTGCATCCTGCCTTGCATAACAGGGCTTTAATTCAGAATTCCACACGCTAAATAGGAATAGTTAGCATGCCCATGTCTCTCTATATGGCTGATCTCATTGGCTGATGCTACTGGGAAGTAGAGGGGAAACCTTTCTGCAATGAGTCGGCTGCAAGCACTCCTCCTGCTTCTACACTGCTCCTCTGAAACCACAGCAATACTCTTGAAAGAACCAAGAAGGATTTCAACAACTGAAGCTCCCTTCCAAGAAGGCTTTTCACAGCACAGAAGCCACTGACTCTAATACAGCAGCTAACCATAGGTGCATTAAAATCAGAGTGCTTTGCCTAAAATCATCTCAATATTCAGTGATGTTATGACCACAGATTGCCATGGTCTGCCAAAATAAAAACAAGGACTGTAAGCTGATGCAGGAGGTGTGCACATCTGCATATTCTAGCTACAGGCTGCTAGGGAACACATAAAATCATGCAGTATTAGGCAGAGTGTCCATTGTTTTGGTTTGTGCACATTAGCCTGGGCTCCTAAAGATGTGCTGAACCAGGATTTCAGCAGAAGCACTGGGAGGGGTGGGCTGCAAGGTGGCTGGAGGAGGTTGCAGCCCTTTGCTGATTTGGGGCAGAATGGACTGCCTGAAGGAGCCTACAGGAAAGCTGGGGAGGGACTCTTTTATATGGGCATTAGTGACAGGATGAGGGGAAACGGTTTTAAATTGGAAGAGGGTAGATTTAGACAAGATAGTAGGAAGAAATTCTTTACTGTGGGGCACTGAAACAGATTGCACAGTAAGGTTGTGGATGCCCCCTCACTGGAAGCACTCATGGCCAGGCTGGATGGGGCTGTGAGCAACCTGGGCTATGGGAGGTGTCCCTGCCTACAGCAGGGGGGTTGGAACTACGTGATCTTAAAGGTCCCTCCCAACACAAACCATCCTATGATTTCATGCTTGTAGTCATGTATTTAATTAGGCAGACTAGCCAGCAGATGAGGCTGATGAGCTCTTTCATCGGGTGGGTTTGAGGGAGCCTCCATTCAAATGCCGTGGAAGCTGTAGGATGGAGGTGGTAGAAGCTATAGAACAAGATTTAAACATCACCCAGAGTTGCAGCAGCCAGAGACATGGGGATGGTGTTTGGTGCTTTCAGAAACCCAGCAGCAGAGCTGCCACTGGGCCATGTGATGCAGCTCTCTGAGAAGCGGCAGAAGGGATGTAGGCACTAAGGAGAGTGACCCAGAGCTGGAGGCTGCAGGGACACAGAAACACACCTGGCTTCAGACAACACAGAACAAACTAGGCAGGGTCCCTCCACTGCCAGCCAGCTTCTGGCACAGAGATGCTCCAAGTGGGCAGCTTTGGGACTGGTACCACCCCACCACAGAGCTCCAACAGAAAGCAAATCCCTCTGCTAACCTGCTGGCCATGCTGAGCTGCGAAAGAGCCTCGAGGAGAAAGCTGTAGCCTTAACCCCATTCCTTCTGGTATGTTGACAACTCATGAAAGATACTGTGTTTCATGGGATGAAACATCCTCAATCGCCTCTGCCGCTCAGAAATTGCTAATTGCCAAGACGTGGCTCTTAATGAGTGCCACAGCATTTACAGACACTATTTATTTGGAGAGGTGTTATTTTGCAGAGTTTCCTGCCGTAAGCAGCACTGAGGCACACCAGAGCACAGGTGACAACTGCTGTCACTCACTACAGTCATACAACGCCTGGTTCTGAACTTTCAGGTCAAAAACATCATTCCTTGCACAGAGAGAACCTCATCCACATGTGCTCCAGGTGACAAACTGCTCTGGGCTGCTTTGAAGTGAGATCCGCCCAACTTGTTCTGCCTTTTCACGTTAAAATTCACACAATTCCAACCAAATAAATTCATTTCTCATAGTCTTGTCTGAAAAGACACGATATATTTCTGCTGTTCTCCAGCTGTACAGCATCTGTAACTGAAATCATTTTTCAGCATTTTTGTAATAACAGTTTTAAATATTTCTCTATGAGCCACACTGGATTCTTTAAAAAGAAGTGGCTATTAGCTTTTATCCCAGATCCATATTTATAGTCCTTCACCAAATCTATTTCAACCTTTCATTTTTTATGTTTCCTTTTTTTTTGTTCTAGAATTCTCAGTATACTGCAGGGGAAAAGATGATGGGATAAAGCTCATCCTAACTACGTGCTTCTCCACTCATGACACATCACAGCCACTGATTTGTTGACGAGTTCCACTTCAAAAGCTTCATTCTGCACCTAACACCTGCACTCATGTCAGCAGTGGGACCTGTGTGAGAGTGAGGTATGAACTGCAGTCCTCACTCTCATGTCTGCTCTAGTAAAACTGGGGCATCACTTTCTATACGTATAAATGGGTGAATCCTCCAATCATGGCAGTCCGAACCACCTCAGATAAGAACATGCAACCCAAAGAGCTCTGCCCAAGTCTAGGATTTAGCTTCAGGACTGCATTTACTGTATTTGGTTATTTTTCCAGACCGATGCCCACTGCTGCTTTCCGAGATCACTTTATCAAAGCACACGAGAAGAGACACAATGCTCCACAGCCACCCCAACGTGGGACAGTGCCACAGGAACCCCACGAGTTTTGTGCCCGCTGCTCTTCCCATCCACCTTTGCTTGTAGAAGAGATTCTGCTCAAATATCTAGATAGTAATATTCATGCAAACAGAACAAGTTGCAACGCAGTGTGAAACCTTTTACTGCACTGAAAGGAGCAAGTACTGTATTACAGCTACTACTACGACTACAGCAATATAGCAAAAACATTGACAGACCCCTAACTATTATGAAGCCTCCTGGCAATGCTATAATTAGATCCAATATAACTATTAGTCATCTTAATCAGTATACACATCGCTTGCTTTGCACAATAAAAGTTACAAAGTAAGGATGCCACTTAATGAGGTGACCTGGAAATTGAGCCCTGTCTATATTTACTTATTTAAAGTCCTTACCAAGATTAAATCTAGTATTTATAACAAAGCTTGGGGATTTATATGGAACTCCACCTGTACATAAAATCACCTGTTAACATTATAAATATGTAGATAAAATACCTGAAGGACACTTCTGAAATTATGCCAACAGTTCATTTGGAACTGTGTTCTGAGGAGAGAAATACAGCCTATTTTAGAAACTCAAGGTTAATTGTATATTCTAATAAGTGTCAAATATGTCATAAAAGAAAACGCATTCACTTAAATTCTCATCATCTTTCCAGTTCTCCAGATGATGTCTCACTGCTTCCCTAGCAGAGTTCTCTTTACAACCCCCCACCAACGTGACAGTGACTGCCTAATGGTTCCGCTGTCATAAGGAGAAGGCAATGTCAGACTCAAAACCCCACTGAGCTTCAGCTAACCCCAGCAGTGAAATTTCCACATGTAGAAAGACAAATATTAAAAACTATGTTACATGTGCCTGAAGACATTGAGGCACATTGCACCTGCAGCTCAGGTCAGTGCATCCATCCATCAGTGCTCCCGCATCCTGACTCAGACTTAGCGATGCAAAACAGTGCCTGCCCTGCAGCCAGCAGTAGGGAGGAGGAGATGGAGTTTCAGAAGAAAGCACAGCATTTTGAGAGCACTGAGAGATAAGACCTCTATTAAAACTGTAAATGCCTACCTGCTCTGAACTGCAGCTGTAACTTCTGCTCTGCTGGGACTCAGAATTCATCCACGCTTTCCTCTTTTTGGTTCCTCGCCTTCTCCATGCTTGTTACAGGAGGCTTCCTAAGGAATACAGGAAAGTGCTCTTCCTTCAAAGACTATTCAGACATTTTCTACAGGTTTTACTTTTTACTTATTTATTTCTAGTACGACTACGTAACCTTGTTTCCCTATCAGAAAAGTGTTTGTAAGAATGAATGTCAGCCAGACATTTAAAGCCAGAGGAAACTTGGCATCAACACAATGGCACAACAAAATCACCCTGTACCCCGCAAGCACCTGATTCCTGCAGTGCTGGCAAGGCACTGAGAACGCATCTGTGTCACCCAGCAAGCAGCCCTGCAGCTTGGGTTAGATGCTGAGTCTCTGTCTTCACCTCAGAAAGCAGCAGCAGGTGGCCTGTGCACTCTTCATCTCACAGGTCTGTGGCAGTTATTTATCGGTAACTTCATTGAAACTCGTGGCCTTAGATTTGCAGCATCAGGCAACGGTGATATCCAGAAGTTCCAGTTACGCTTTGCAATAGCAGCTGCACAAGTTCCATATAGACTTCTTAACAAGAAGGCATGCCCACTTTGCTGTGCACAGATGCACCCTACGCAGCAGAAGACACAGAGTAAAGCAGAACAGAGCAGCTGACAGCCTCCAGTGTGTGCCTTTACCCACACAGAGGCAGTGCCATGTTTAGGCTTGGATTGGGTAGAGAGCCTCTCAGTGCTCCCAGAGTACAGTATCACACACAAAAAGCAGCTTAGATGTGATATGATGGCATTTGGCAGGGAAACTGCTCCTGAGAACAAGAGCCTGCAAGAAAAATGAAGACAAAACAAAAATGTCATCGCATTTGGTGCAGAAGCCAACCATACCTCCTCGCCAGCTACCTGCTGACGTTGCCAGACTTGAACCTCCTGCCTCCAGCCCAGAAAGCCCACCACAGCAGTTAGCAATCTGTTCACACCCTCATTAAGCCGATTAGCCATTAGTGATGGAGCAGTCTCCAGGAATGCCACAGCACCATTGCCCTGTGACAAATCCCATTCCTCCTAAGTGCAGAGCATTTAATACTTACTATCCCAACGTTAATTTGAATTTAAAGAAAAAAAGAATTAACGAAGAAAACTGCTTCAGTAGGCAGACTATAGTAAATATCAACATTTCATCAAAGCTCTTCTTTCATTAGTTCTAGCCCAATTACATCAACCATTTCTTTTCCAGGATAGTTCTTCAAGCTATTAAAAAACTGTGTGGAAAAAAAAATGAAATACTCTCTCACTTCCTCATTGCAAAAGCCTTTCAAATTAAAGATATGGGGAGAACAGGAGAGTTATTGTTTGCCACAGATGAAGTGCCTTGCCAAAACAATGCAGAAAAATCAATATTCAGTACAGCCAGCAACAGAAGACAAAGAAATAAAGCTTATGTATAAAATCCAAAGCAACAACAGTAGGAGTTTAGGAAGAGGTAAACAAAGTTATGTGAGTTCAGCTTCAGCTGTGGTACACACAGGAGTTGAAGCATGCGTTACCTGTCCGACCTGACGGGACACCAAAGGCAGGTTGCACTGTATCACGTCTGCCAGATGTCCACCATAAACGATGGTCTGAAGAAACAAAACAAATGAAGCACAAGGCCAATGTTCAGGAAAAACTGATCATGCCTCAAAGAGACATTTGAGCAGACCGAGAGGGATTCAGCAAGCATTCGCTTGATTCTTCTAGACTAACATAGTTTTTGTTCTTTTCAAAACATCATCTGTAATTTGTGCAGCAAAGTTATCCACTGTGCTCATCTCGTAATCATGTCCAGTCTCCTCAGACCACAGGTGACATTGCTGCTGTCACTGTTCTGCTCAAAGCACCTCACCACCAGTGCCACTGCAGACAGGGATGGGAACAGCTGAGCCACTTCCACAGCCCCAGACACAAAGCCAGGCCTGGCAGCTGGGCCAGCAATACCAACAGAGGGAGGCACTGCTTACCTGGCATGAAGGTACAGAAGGCATCCTTGGAGACAATGCTTTTCTATGCAGCTTCCCATTGCATGCAGACAGCAGCACAGCTTTCAGTTCAGGCTGTATACAACTGCAGAGGAACGACACAAGCACCTTAATTGCCTTGGGCCACCTCTCTTCATAAAGCAGAAGGGGTACCTGGGATCCCAGTGAGATGGAGAACCTTATCTTTCATTATATCATAGCCGCTGCCAAGATGAGATGTGACAACACGCTGTTGAGTACTGACTTCCCTGGTAAAGCAAAGAATTAAGTCAAAGGCATATTATAGGTAAGTGAATTACCAGATACAAGACCTTCCAGAAGACTACAGAAAAGTATTTAAAAGATGCACATAGGTCAGAAATCAGTTTTACAACTCATTTAAAAAGCAGATTTCCTCAACACTGCTTCACTTCCTCCTGGTCACATTAAGATCAGCATTCATGTCAGGACAATACAAAGCAAAAAAGAGCAGCACAACCTCGATCTGAAGTGGGTACAGGGAAAATGATACCACATTGGAGGCATATCTCAGGATCACAGGCAACTGCACTGCAGTTTGAACGACCTGAAACACGACCTCACCACATTCAAACTCTTCTGCTTCCATTCTGCGCCATTTATCTCCAAAATCAAAATTAAAGAGCACAATGAAAAGAGCCTGGCTCTGCATCTTGGCTCCTTCCCACCCGAGGCAGTGATATGCGTGCACACCAGTGAGATCCCAGCCTTCTCCTCTCCAGGCTGGGTTGACAAGAGCAGTTGTGTGCTCTGCATCATCATCACAGTTGTGAGAGAAGAGAAAAACTGTTCTGGACCCCGAACTGCCAGAAGGACACTGAGTTGCTCAAGCACATGCAGGAAACAGCAAAGTTGGTAAAGAGACCAAGAGAGAAAGAGGACTAGTGAGGAACTGCTGAAGGAACTGGGGCTGTTTGATTTGGAGAAGTTTGAGGGGAGACCTCAATGCTCTCTACTGGAACTACCTGGAAATGCTACTGGAACTACCTACAAGAGAGGTCTCAATCTCTTTTCTCAGGTGACAAATGACAGGACACAGGGAAAGAGCCTTAAGTGGGGCCAAGGCAGCTTTAGATTAGATATTGGGAAAGATTTCTTGACATAGGAGGTGCTCAAGTGTTGGAATGCACTGCTCAGTGCAATGGTGCAGTCCCCATCCCTGCAGGTATTTAAGAGACACGTGGATATGGCACTAAGGGACATGGGTAAGTGGTGGGATTTGATAGGCCAGGCTGATGGTTGGACTCAGTGATCCTGAAGGTCTTTTTCAACCTAAATGACTCTTTTGATTCTAATCACAGCTTCTTCAAGGTCTCATCTTTTTGTGATGAAGAGCTCCAGACACTGGAGCAGAAATTCCTCTACGGCCCACGAGAAGCCCACGCTGGATCAGGTTTATCCTGAAAGCCCGTGCTTCAACAACAGAGAAGTGTGACGATGATGGGAGGAAGAGAGAAGCTGCTGTGGGCTTAGCACAGGCCCTCATGCTTCTCAGGGTGGGGAGTTAGAGCACTATGTTTAATTGGCAATAAATCAATTAATTTTCCCTAAGTCAAATCTGCTTTGTCTGCTACAGTAAGCAGTAAGTGATCTCCCCATCTTCACCTTCACCCACCAGCTTTTCCATCTTATTTTCTTACCATCCTATTGAGAAGGAGTGAAAGAAAGGTTGAGTGGGAACTGGCCAGGGTCAACTCTCTCACCCACCAATCCAAAGCCCTTCATATTTTAAATTCTTCCCAGGGTATTCTTTCCAATGCTGTGTGATTAGCATTAGCATATGAACTCAAACTCAGTAAACAACTGTACAGAACTAACAAATAAAGGCCATTCCCTGTCAGATGAAAAGGAAAAAAAAAATAGATGCTCAAAAGTGAAGCAAGTTTTAGTACTATACTGTTCAAGTGCTTGTTATCACCTCACCTTCCATTTATTTCTCCAAGTTACAGCTGGACTTCAATTCTGAAAGATTCTGAAGCTTAAATAAAGAGGGAGAAATTGAATTGTTATGAAAGAACATGTTGTTTTCAAACAAAACTCTTTTAAGTATAGATATGGTTTGCTTTCACCCCTAGCAGAGGAGTATTTCACTACTGGGAAGAACTGAATCAGCAATGAAGATTTTGCTTCTCCCCCTGAAATACACACACTTGCTTTGAAATATAGGGATGAAGGATTTTATTCTAAGAATTCGTTCATAATAAATAAAAGGAAAATAGTTTCAAGCTGAACTGCTTTGCAAATTAGAGCTTCACTTCAGCTTTTTCCATTTCATGAGTCAAAACTTTTCCTTTTTATTAAGTGCAGCTGAAATTTCAATTTCCTTGTGACTGAATATAGTGCTCCATTCAAGCCACAAAAAATATTCTATTTATTAGAATGCTTCAGTTTCAGATCATTCTGAGCTAATATTTGCTCAGCTCAGCTAAACTGAAAACCAGAAGCATGTCTGTATATAAATAAAGCAGAATAATTTTCTCCAATCCTGTATCTGTGTCAGCCTAATCAGGTCACTGGTGGGAGCTGTTGACTGGTAGAAACACAAGACTTTCTCTTTATGAAAAATGACTGCCCTTGCTTTCAAGCTATCTAGTTTGCGTCAACATTGCTTTTCTCGGTAAATAATAGGCTCTAAGTGGCACATCCATTCCTCTTCAGTACAGACAAGTCTTGGAATGTTATTTTTAGGCATCTCACAGTAATAATGCGTTCAGTGCAATGCTTGGAGCATATCCATGGTAATTATTCTTTGTCTGTTCTCTTGCATTGGTCAGCTCCAGAGACACCTCATAAAACCACAGCCTTTCTTGGCTGCAGAAATGGTAGCAAAACCATATAATCCTCTGGTAACACTCGGCTGGCTTTGAACAACGCCACTGCATCAAATTAATTAAGCGCAGACACACCCACCTCTGGCTGAAAATGCCAAACAACTGAACCTCAGCATGACTCTTCCTGCTTTAGCTGCCTCTAATTCTCCCCCATTTCCTTTACATGCTAACAGAATAACCCAAGTTGGAAGGGACCCACAAGGACTGTCAGCTCCCAGGTCACGCAAGAATTGCAAGTAACACAGGTTATCAGAACCAAACCAGCCCTGAGCTGCTGACCTCCATCGCAGCCATATCAAATAACCCCATGCTGCTTTGTACACAGTTCCTCAGGTTCTCAGTCCAGGTCTCCAGATGAGGTGTATTACAAGAAGTTTGTCAATATCCTCAGTAATTTAGTAGTACTTCTGGTCACCATGGCATGGTTCTCAAAAAACTCACTCCCCTGGAATTAAACATTAAAAAGATGCCAAACCAGACCAAAATAATCTAATGACTGTATTTAAATACATGCTTTGTCATCCACATTACTAGGCTAAATACGTAAATGTCTTTGCTATACATTTTGTAGTCAGTGTGCTGAGCAGAGGCAATTCTGCTTACTCAGACTGCTCTCTAATCACAAGTCATCTCTACTGGGAAATCATCTGAGGTGCCTGTCATGCTGTAGCATACAAACAGCTCAATTGAGCTTTTTAATGATTTATTAATGCAGTCAATCTGGTAGTGGTAGCTCTGGTTATCAGAGAGCTGCAGTTAGCAGTGTTGATTGTGCAGTATAACATCATAACCTATCCTTGCAATGTAGTGCAGGTTAGACTGAGACTGCTTTGACTAGGCCTGACTCTTGTTTTAGCAAGCAGATGTCTGCCTGCATCAAAAGGAGATTTGTCCTCTGCCCAATACAGACATTATTCATAGGATGCCTTAAGGTTCTTCATCCCATTTAGTGCAATGTCAGGTCACTATCTTCCTCCAGGAAATGCTGTTAATCAGCATGATGTGATTTGTCTTTGATGACACCCAGCTCTGTGACTTTTCAAAGCCTAGCCCTGCATACTCTGTCATACCTCTTCAAACATGAGAATTAATGCAAAACTGCTTCCACTTGAAGTCAGATAAAAGATGGTCTGTTAATGGGTCCAGGCACTTCAGAACAAACTGCTCTTTCCCACGCTAAATTCTGGAAATGGAAACATCAATTTAAATTCTTGTGTAAGGATGTGGTGTTAAACCTGCATCAGCTTGGTTCAGACAATCTGAAAGCAAAGCAATGAGTGGCTCCAGCAGCCCCTCCAGCAGCACAGTGGCTGCACCTTCACTCCATCCAGAACAGCTGCCCATGGCCTGTGCTGCCAAGGCAAGGGTTCATTCTTAAGGAAGATTCAGAGCTCCAGAAGTCCCTGGCAAAAGATGCTTGGTGCCTGCAGCCATATTACATACAGAGAGATTGCTTTTTCTGAACCCAGAGCTCTCAGTCTGAACTGTTCACCCAACAATTAATCTGACATAAGACAAACTTGAGAACTTGATCTGAAGTCGTAAACAGTAACAGATGCCAACATGAAGTTTCTCTCCATCCAACTCCTAACAAAAAGCCACTACTACATTATCCCTTCTCATAACTTCAACAGCACCATGGCCAAAATGCTTATGGGGCAAAATCATTCCTCAAGCCACACAAACAGGCTTTCAGAAGAAAAGGTTCGACTCTTCATTGACATGAAGTTGATCAGAAGTTGACCAAAGCAACAATAGATTGAAAAAAACCTCTGGTTTGAAATCAGAAGGCAAAAGCAGCAAACCGGGAAAGTGATGTGATTTGCTGATCGCCTAAACGAGAATTAATCCTTTTTTGTTTATTTATCTAGAAAATATGTATTTCTTCCTCCAATAAGTCTCCAATCCATTCAGGCACACCAGCTTTTAAAACAAGAAGACATCAAAGCAGTGAATAATTAAAAGGCTGTTTCAGAGATTGTCAGTACTGATTATACACCAAAGGAATCTCCTGATAAACACAAGTGAAAAGGAGTCCAGAATATCTGGAATTCTGATTTCATTAAAGACTGGCAGCAAGGCCTGAATCTCTTTGTGAGTTACACTTCATTTACCACATTAATACTAGGTGGAACAGAGAAGTTTCCTCAGACACATTAATCAAAATCCAGTCCAATGCCTTTAGAAAAGCCTTTAAGAGATTACTCATCCTCGGCTGTTTAAAACAAACTTTGAAAATAGTTCAGAAGGTCAAAAAATCCTTGATTTTTTGGCCCAATGCACAGGGATGGTGCTTTCTTAAATACGTCCTTTAACAAACCCTACCAACAGCCAGAAAAGTACAGCTGTAGGGTACAGATTATTGCTCATCTCAGAGAGGCTGAAAATCAGCACGACAGTTCAGTTTTCCAGAGCTGAAGTCAGAACTTCCGTAAGCACAAAAAAGTAATCACAACACCAAAAAAAGAAGAGAAGAACTAAGGGACAGGGAAGGCCCACAGCAGAAGGCCCTGGATTTTAAAGGCAGAACAGCACTTCTCTCTAGACCTAATACTTCAGTACCTTGTAGTTGTTTGCCTGAATGCTGAAGAGATATCCAGGAAAATGTAACAATTGTCAGTGATCTCAGGATCCTTTGAAGGATGCTGTCTGGTATTTCTACATGTGTGACAAGCTTGTTGACAGAGCCATCAGTACTTCCTGGGCAGAAGGGGATAGCTGTGCAACTCCTCTTTTCAAAGCACCACAAGCAGAGATGTTCTGAAAGGCTCCCTGTGCTGGCTGCTGCACTGCACTACTTAAGTAGTGAAAAACGTAACAATAATCAAGAAAAAAAAGCAAGTTTTGGTTTTTGTAAGGTGTGGAAGACCTTATTTATGAGTCAAACAGGCTGCGTGAATATCTGTGTGTATCAATTAGCACAGCAGAAATCACAACTCACTGCATGAGCAAAATTCCACATATGCTACTCCTGACCCCCAATTGCTCCCAACAGTGTTAAATTATCCCTCACAAAGCAAAACAAAACGACGACAAAAACGTCACACCAACAGTGAGCACATACAAACCAACAAGCTGCCATACAGCTGTAGAAATTGCTTGCCAATAACAACAGAAATTGAAGACTTTGCTCCCAAACACAATTATTTGTATTGTACTCAATGCACTCATTGTGTTATAATCATTTAAAACATAACAATCTGTATAATTAACAGATGATGTACTACAGATATCACTGCAATAATCCACACTCTGATATCAATTTATATTTTTTCCCAAGAGTGTGGAGGTCAGTTTATCAGGATGAATTACCTTTACTTACCGTTTTGCCCAATGCAGCTACTTTTCCCCCAAAATAAATGCGGTTCCAGCAGTTCCAAAATCTTCAGGAAATGCAGATGGGAAGAGTGGAGACCAGAGAACCAGTTCAGAAGGCTAAGACTGAACAAATGGAGAATGAAAAACATTTGAGAAGATACAGAGATATTTCAGCTGACACTGAAGCACCCCGAGCACTGGGCAGAAGCTATGAATACAAACTGAGATGCAGCCGTATTTAATCTCTGCAAAATGTTTCTGCCAGTCTTCTCTTCCAAGTGGGCAATAAAGAGAAACGGAAACAAACTCCCACAGGAAAATGGAAAACATACTTTGCTGCGATGCTTCTGTTATGGGAATTGTCTGTGGCCTACAGCACATGGAAGCAAGCAGCCCGTTGGAGCAGCTCCAGTCAAAGTCACTTGGCAGACCAGCAAGAGCTGCTGCAGTGAATTAGAGCTCTGCTCCTTTCGGATCAGGAGTGAGAAAAGGCAGATTTGTTCTGAGACCAACCCAGGGCTCACTTTAAATGTCACCTTTTTAGAACTGCAGGCATTGCCATTCTTTAAGTGTAAAGAAAAACACTTCTTCGAAATTATGAGCTATAACCTCTTCACAATGTTACAACACTGGTCAGTTCTAATTCAATTAACAGCTCTTTTCTCGCTGCACTCGTCCACATTTTTAAACAATCATTAAAATAGACATGAAAGTTGCAAACCTGAGGTGGTGAAATAATGTTAACTGATGAATACAAGTCTCAGTTTTCCTATGTATTTTGATATTGAAATCCCACAAAAGGATGACAGGATGCAGCACTAAGGCTTGCGATTCAGGCTCTGATGACTGAATTACATTGCATCAAAAGGAAACATGCACTGACAAAACTTTGATGCAGTTCTTCTTTCATTCAAATGCAGTGGGCTTTGTTCCCTAGCTGAAACATTGGTGCAGCAAAGCACATATCTTTGTACATCAGTGCAAGACTTTTAGGGCTGGAGCAACACTGAAGTTAGCACTGCTCTGTGCAGAGAGAGTTAAAAGTTATCAACTAAGGTCTCTTTCTACGTGAACTACCTCCATGTCCTGTGATTTTGCTGTGTATTAATGCTTCAAATCAGCAGCTCTCAGACCGCACCCATTCAGTGTTCAGGATTCCCATACGGTTATGCTTGAGGCTGGATGATAGAAGGAGGGAAAGAGGGAAGGGAAGATCACACTGTTTCAGTAATATCATCAAATATCATTAACATCCCACCGCCTACAAAAAACAAGCAAACAAAGAAAACAACAAGGAAACTTCCTGCAGTGATAACATGTTATCCAAAAACTCTGCTGAAACTCAACTGTGAGTCAGCAAGAGTAACTCAGGTCGCAGTTTAAGCTTTTTGCATAATTAGTTTACGTTTAATCAGACTGCTGGTATGTAAACATAATTACCATTCACAGACCTTTAATTGAAATTGTCACAGCACTACTGCTAGCTTCTTCTCCAGGTCTGCTAAAATGGATTTCCACTCCACAGACACTAAGTGGGGATGGCAGTTCTCCTCAATACTGCCACGCACCAGGCTGACCAATGCTCCTCACACTCCTACTGGTGAAGCCAGACAAAAAGGAACACCACAGTTCATTTGGAATAATGCATGTAATAAATTAACTTCAGCTGACATTAATTGTACAGAACACATTTGAGCTGATGCGTGACCATCAAACTCGTGGTGTGGATTCTAACCATTCCAGTAAAACTTACCTCTAAAGGGATAAATCCACACAAACTGTGATTTATATTCAGAAATGCCAAAGACCATGGGTGACCTTTCTTAGGCCTCTGCCTTCCTGAAATGAGTTCTATGATTCACCTGTGTGCAGAGAACATGTGCACAGCGCTCTTTAAAATTAAAATGAGGCCTCCACCTACACCTGAGTGATTGTCAGCCAAGTGTTTAGAAATAGTGTTAAGTAACAATACCTTCTTACACGTGCATTGACTTCCAATGCATTAAGGAGAGCAGGACAGAGGCAGCCTTACAAAGGCTTCTCACAAGAGTGCTGTTGAGGCACCTGCAGGTCTTCTCAACTCCATCATCATTGTGCCTCTCATTCTGAACCCCTCTCAAACTGGGGCTGTTGAATATTTTTCAGTACTTGTAAAAACTAGGTATGCTTGTATGATTCAATTCTCTACCCTATGCTTTTTCTTACAAGCTCCAAAGGCAGCAGCATCAGAGAACTCCTAACTGGGCTGGTACCACACGTCCCAGTCTGACTGGATGACACAATCACAAAGGAACAGCATCAGTTAACTTCAGATTTTTTTCCTTCAGCTCCTCGTGTTTGCTTGGCCTGCCTGGGAAGCCCAGCCTTTATTATCTTTCATGGGGATGTGCAGTGAATGCAGTGACATTGACAGCTGCTCAGTAGTTGATGAGCAGCAGCCAGGGTTAGCCAGCAGGGTCAAGACAGAGTAAAGCTGTGGGGAGATAATGCATGCTTACAAATTTGACTTAAATTCTCCACAAGTTTAAATTACTTTCAATGAAACCAGTGAAGATTTGACAAATGAGATGAATGGCCCCTTGAGACCTAACGTTTCACAGGGAATTTGCAGTGAAATTAAATTAACAGGCAAATTTTAAGCATGTCGTTTTCACCATTAAACAAAGATCTTTTTATCATTTACTTTCTCCACATTATCTAACTTTGTCAGGCTTCAATCACCTCTCCTGTGAAAGCAGCGCCAATTATTTACTCATTAATGTCAGAAAGTCCCTGTCTCCACACATGTGCATGTACCCACATTGCTCTGCACTGTGCATTTCAGCAGCTACAGCTGAGACAAACAGATCTGTTCTGGAGGAAAAGGTGGACTCTGGCAGCTTGGCAGCTTCTTCCAGCTGCAGAAGGTGTTGCTGTCTCTCCAGACAGATCCTCCCAGCTCTGACAGGACAGAGCCACCTCGGACCCCTACAAAGGGGTTTTGGACATGTTTTCAGAAGTGTGGACCAAACCCGCGTGTCATTTCTGTGTTCCACAAGGCGCCACTCAGGGAAGGCACAGGGACTGCCAGAGCAGCAGTGCATCAGCAAGACAAGGGGATGCAGGGAGCGGCACCTGGCGAAGCGGGGGGGTGCCAAAGCGTTACCTTGGAAGCCTCGGGAACCGAGAGCAACGAGGGCCTGCAGCCATCTGAGCCCAGGCTGGGACTTGCCTTCTCACAGCGCAGCAGGGCAGGCTGTGGGCAGCGCTGGGCACAGATCCCAAGGACAACGCGGCCGCTTCAGGAAGCGGCGTCGGACATCTCACGGGCTGCAGCGGCGCGGCAGAGCAGAGCGGGACAGTCCTTTCCTGGGCAGTGCCGGGCCTGATGCGCCCCACGGTACGGTTGGCGCTTCGCCGTGCCCGGCAAACATCGCGGGAGCGCGGGGAGCCCCCGGCGGAGCTCCGAGCTACGGCAAGCTCAGAGCCGGGCGGCGAGCGTCGGGGCGAAGAGGACGAGCCTTCCGCTCACGGCGAGGTACGGCCGTGTCTGTAGGCGGACGTGTGCCAGGTTCTCCTGGCAGCGGGGAGCGAGCAGGGAGAGGAGCCCGGACAGCGGAGGGCTCCCTGTGCCGCGATGCGCGGTCCCGCTTTTCCTCCTCGTTCTCCCCCTCGACCCGGTGCCGTCCGACTCCGCTCTCCGCGTTTGTTGCAGCTCCTCTTCTCCCGTCCCGCCGACTCCGGCGGCGATGCCCGAAAAAGAATCGGGTTGCAGAGCAGAGCCCCGTCCGCCGCAACGAGCGGCCGCCGCCGCCCCGCAGGCGGTGACAGGTGGCGGTTCCCGGCGCCCCGCCTGCTGCCGCCCCGCACCGCCCGCATCGCGGTCGTCCGCGCGGTGCTCTCGCGGTGCAACCCGCGGCCCCCGACCTCGCGCCGTGCCCTCCGCCGCCGCGTGCCGTCCTTCCGCCCCGTGGTGCCCCACCTGCCCTTCCCGGCCCTGGCAGGCGGTGCCGGTGCTGGCTGCGGCCCCCGGCTTCCTCGGTGGTCCCCGGCTGCCCCGCCTGCCGAATGCGGGCCGGCAGCCCAGAGGGGGCTGTGTGAGGGACGTGGGGAGAGCGACCCGGAGGTACCGGGAGCCGATAGAAGTAGATGAGGAATTAGAGGATGTGGAGATAGTCGTTGTATAGATAATAGGTAGCAAGATAGTTGGCGGTGATGTAGATAGTGGATAGCAAGGTAGATAGCTGGTGGTGATGCAGGTAGTGAAGAGATAGCAGATAGCAAGATGGATCTTTAATAGAGAGGTGGTTTGTGGATAGTGAGGTACTTTGTGGCAAGAGTTACTAGTGGTGTAAGTAGTCATAGGCAGACAGCTGATAGGGAGATAGTGGATAGAAGGACAGGTGATGGTGAGATAGTTAATTTATAGACTGCGATACAGAAAGTTACTAAAAAAAAAAAAAAATATCTCCGTTTCAGACAAGCCACTGAGTCCTGGGACACCACTCTCCTCTCCAGTGCAATGAAGATCAACACCTGATGCTGCTCCAGCACCGGCAGAAGAGCAGCAGCTCTGCAAAGACCCGTCCTGCCAGCAGAGCATCGCAGAGAAGAAGCCGAGCCTTCTGCTCACAGGAAGGCACTCGTGCTGCAGCCGCCTCCCCGGCAGCCCCGCCTGCAGCCGCGGCCCCGACAGGGCAGCTGCGGGTGCTGGGGGCTGAGGGTTGTGGATAGCGTTGAAAGAGCGTTGTCTTTTTTTTGGTGGTGGTGGTGAGTGGGAGGGGTTTTAATGCTGAAATATCACTCGAGCTTCCCAGCAGTCAGTGTGACTCGCAAACTGTTGATCACTTCTAGCTGAACCAGAGCACAGCACTGCGCTCTGTGTTTCTCCCCGTGCTTTTGTCACTTGCAACTTGTGCAATGTGGAGCTCAGGTTTTGACAGACGCAGAGGAAGTCAGAACAGTTTTGCCTTTAAACAGGTCCTGCCCAAGCTTACACACCAAAAGGCTGCACAGCAACGTTTGTCCGTAGCAATTTGATGTTGGAGAGTTACAGAATTATTTGTAAGGTTTGCCACGTACTGCAGAAAAGCAGAAATAAGTCAGAGCAGAAGGATAAGCTGCATATTCAACAACTCATCCGTTACATTTGACTAATTAGAACACAAAGCCATTTAAGCAGTCAGCAGAATTTGAGTCAGGGAGCATAAATGCATTTACTTCAGCAGAACAAAATACAACTCCTAGCTCTTGGTTGCCCTTTTGAGGATGTTAACAAAGAAAACAAACAAACAACAAACCACAGCACTCCTTGTTGAAGAAGCAGATCCCAACCACCACCTTTCCATTGGCTCTCTGTGAGCTGCTGTTGCTGCACTTGGAGGAAATCCCGATGCACCCCGATAGACAGCAGGGAAGAAAACCAACAGGTGTCCCTTCAGCACAGTGTGTGAACCATCAGCTTTTCCCCACTGAAGGACACCGCTGGCAGGAAGTCAATGACTGTGGGTGTCTTCTTCTGCCACTCACCAGGCACTCAGCTCAGCTGAGTTCACAGGTGTCATCTTCCATTGGATTTATAGAGGGAGGTGATCCCTGCTGTGGCCCTCTGAAACTGGTGGTATTGGACTTTAGAGGACCAGAGCAGGGCAAACGATGACTTGGCTGCAGCTCCGGTGCACGGCTTTGTACTGTGCAGCCACTGCATCTCAGAAGATGCTCATTTTGTGATGGCACTGTGCCTAAAACCCTTGTTCTGGGCCAGGGCTGTATTCAAGGCACAATGGCACAGCCAAAAACTCTCAGAAAATACTTGGAGTAGCAGGACCAGTGCTACAGTAGGCATTTCTGCAGTCACGTAGTGCAGGTAATTCCAGGACGGCACACTGGTAGAGACAAGACAGACAAGTGACCCAAAACAAGCCGTGAACAAATGCATCCTCCCACAACGCTTCTGTTTGCTGCAGGGAGCTCACGGCTGGATAGGTGGAAATCACTGCCCCATATATGTAGAGAAGGCTGTAAAGAAAGCTTAAGCTCATCCAGACCACTGCTGAGGGTTCTGTGTGGTGGGAAGATGCTCCCCAAGCTGCAGGAAACAATCAAATAAGCCAAAGGAAGCACAGGTGCGGCTGATTTAACGTGTCCCCATTTGGGGTCTCTAAATACCTCTGTGGTAAGCTCTGAAGATCTCAGTTTACCTGCAGCAAGGAAACGGAGACAGCAAGCTAACAGACAAGGAGAGTGGATTTCACAGCACCGCCATTCATCGCCTCTCCTTCAGCTGCGCCGCTTACAGCACGGAAACAATCCTGCAGCCGTAAGAGGAAACCCGTCCTGCCGGGAGTTATGAGTCTGGGAAGGATCTCGTCGGTGTTGCTGTGTGCTTCAGTGCTGAACCATTGCGTGCAGCAGGTGGGAAGCATCACACGAGGCCGTGGGGCGTCTGCAGCGCGGTAATAAAGGAGGCAGCGGCTGAGAACGGCCGAGCCCAGAGCGGCGCCTGGAGAACGCGGTGGGCACCATGGCATGGGGAGAGCATCAGAGCTTCAGAGCAAGTGTCTGCAGATTTCTTAACTGCAAAGCATGTTCTGGAAGGCGTGGATTTAACTCTCTTGTTGCCACGTCCTGTTGCAAAGAGGTGAAAGAGGAAACTTATTTGACTACTAAATGAATAACACTTTATTTTCTCTTGTTCTCTGATCCAGGAATTAACCAAAAAGCTTCCCTGGCCAACAAAACCAAAGATTTTCTTACGACAGCCTGGATTTCACATGTACAGAAAGGGAAAAGGACCACAGCATTTACTGTAGAAGTTGCCATAAAAGGAACTCCAGAATTACAAACACAGTGGCCATCATCCCTTCACACAGCACAGCAGCAACACAACATCCTAGTAACTGTACCTCTAGGGTCAATTCCTGATTCACATCTCACACTGTTTTGACAAACGAGGCTGGGGATTGTGTTCCTGTGCAATTCAATCACCTCTGCTCAAACATCTGTGCCCCAGCTGACCCATTTACACACATGAATGAGAGCTTCCTTTGAGAACACTCATCCTGTAGTTTATACTTGTGCTCCTCCTTTAAGACTAACACAACTAAGAGTTACTAAGGCAAGAGTTCCACCTTCTCAAACCAGCAATAGTCACCTTTGAACATTCTGTTCCTTACAGCCCATATTTTTTTTTTAGAATCACAGAATGGTTTGTGTTGGAAGGGACCTCAAGGATCACAAATCTCCATCCCCCTGCCACAGGCAGGGCCACCAACCTCCGCATTTCATACCAGACCAGGCTCCCCAGGGCCCCATCCAATCTGGCCTTGAACACCTCCAGGGGTGGACGGGGCATCCACAGCCTCTCTGGGCAGCTGTTCCTGCACCTCACCACTCTCATAGGAAAGAACTTCCCCTTGGCACCCAGCCCAAATCTTCCCTCCTTCAACTTAAAACCATTTTGCTGTTGCTTAATGTAAATTCACTGTCTGTGTGAACTCAGATGACAAAATGAGCAGAGCTGTAGCTTATTCCAAGGTGAGAGGAAAGCTAATCTCACTGTATGTGCTAACATGGCCTACGGCGTGTTCACAGCCATCATCGCCTTTGGCTTCAAGAAAAGCTGCTGTCTTACGCCACGTTTGTTGAAGGTGGGTTCTGCCTTGGCACAGCATCCAAAACCATCCCAAGATCCATAATGGGGTTTGCAACAGAGTGCTATCTCACATTCTTCTCACCAAGGCTTACGCAGCATTTTGCTGTTTCGTATTACAAGAACTGTGATGGCTTCTGCAGCCAATTACCTGTGTTAAAAAAGAGCAATAGGGGCAGAAATGCATCACTTGATGCTATAAACACATTTTAATTAGGTTTTCAGGTCTCATAATTGAGGAGGATATCAGCTTTCCCTGCAAGCTGTAAGTGCCACTATGAACAAGCAACTTTTTTTTTTTTTTTTGCATAAGGAATGTATGCAATTTTTTTCTTTTTGTGGAGCTGAATTGCATATATAAGCTCACATAAGGCAATCTGAATGTATGAGTTTGGTCCTGCAGAGTACTGCATACATATTCACTATGCCAACTGGTAGCACAATTTGGCTGACAAAGGCCAATCAACAGATGGCTTACCCTGCTATGCTTAGATCAAAATTGCCCTTTGCAACAAACCCTCCACTACCACGTATTTGTGTCTACATGCCTGCATTCTGGTAAGGGAAGCCAAGAGATAAAAGTAACGAACCAAAACCTGTGGTTTAATTGTGTGAATACACAAACATTTGATAAATGTACCCCTGCTACTGTAAGTGCAGTCAGGAAGAAGGAAGGGCTCACAGTAACTCAAGACAAGAGACAGGATGGTCTCAAACACAAAAGCCAGCTGACCAGACAAAGGTCTTGCCAAAATCTAAACTAAACCATGCAGGTAGGCTGAGGCAGGAGCAAGTGTAACCTAAAGCAACCTACAGTAACCAAATGGTTTGTAAAGGTCCAAATCCATATGTAATTACATGCCTAGAACAAAGGAGGAGATGTAAGCGGTATCACAGCGCAGTACACAATCCCTCCCCTGTGCCATACATAAATGAGGGAGTGCCAAATGGAGCATGCGACAATGGAAGGAATGGCAAGGGCATACGTAACAGGAAAGCCTTCTGGCTCAGCAAAACAGTGCTATAAACATCAGACAGGGACGATGCAAAGGTGTGAGGGCTCTGCAAATGACTGCCTAGCACCCAACAACCTCCAGCCCACGTGCAGACTGACTGCATGGACCCAGCCCCAGCTGCTGGGACAGCAGCACACGACCTGTGGTTGAACAGCAGTCTGCAAGGTTAAAGCATGCAGACTGCCACAGTTCCAAAGGATAAAAGCTTCTCCCAGGATATTTATAAACTTGAGGGGCTGGGAGGGGTGGTATTTCCAATCATTTTGACAGTGTAAGAACATGAATGTAGGCTATAAACTTGTCCTGGAATGAATTCCCCAAGTCTATTGTTACAACACGATCAAAGCAAGGAGTTTCAGCTACCAGATTCTTCCACTTTTCCTTAAGCTGACAATTTAAAGTTGAGAGATTCACAAAGAATAGCTATGATTCAGCAACATCATTGTTTCCAATGCAAAAACACAGAAGTTACTCCAGCGCTTCCCAGAGACAAGATGGGATGCACCCAAAATCATCATTAGCACACGTTCTAAGAAAGAAGCTAATCACAAAAGTTTTTTTGTTGCTGTTTGTTGTTAGTTTTGTCTCCTCAAATCAGATGTCATTCTAAGGACACATCAGGTGACAGTGATGGTGCAGAACAATTTGCTCTGGGCAGACCATCAGCCTCTGCCAGCACAGGCCGGGCTGTGCCCTCAGCTCCTGCAAGCAGCCCCAGGCAGCAGCTGCTGGGGGCACCTCTGAGAGCTGGGCTGGCGCTGCCAGCTCCAAATGCCTGAGCACTTGGACATGAAGCAGAGGCATGACCAGGAGCACAGCAAGAGCCAGCACACTTACAGCAATTCTACCCGGTGCTTGACACTCCAGCTATCTGAGAGATGGGGGCTGAGATCAACACTGCACCTCCAACCTCCACTGGAAAGAACACAACCCTCTATTTAACTTCTTCAGCAGAGCTACAAGGGCCAGAACACCTCTGCAACAGCACATCTCCTCCTGCTCATCCAAGTGGGGAAAGCTGTGTCTTTCAATGCAGTGCAGCTGTCACACGCGTGGTTTAAAGGCATCACCAGAGAAACAGCCAGATGCTGACAGGAGCAGAGGACTAAGGAAGCAAACAGCCAAGTAATTGCATCTTTTGTCAATGCCATTTTACTCCTCACAGGAGTGCTGTGGGTGATAATTGACATTGTTGTGATGTAAAACAGCAGCTGCCTCTGGGCACAGACGTGGAACATGTGCTGCTTTGAGACACCCTGACCTAAGAGAGTGAACACAACGACCTCACAGCAGTGATGTCATGCATTAGTCAGCAACTGCAGCACAAGGCCCTGCTCATCCTGCAGGGCACAGCACGGGGCTTTTTTGCAAACAACTGGTTTTAAAGTCATGAGCTGTATCTAGCAGCAGCCAAGAGCAGAGTAGCAGATGAGTGCTCAGGCACCCTGGTTTTCTCCCAGCTCTATACCTTGCAAGATGTAGAGAAATACATTAACTCCAGCCAGGGGTGCTCTGGGTGCATGCCTCAACACTGGCATCGCTGCTACTGAGCATCCAAAACTCCTCCAGGAATACAGGGGAGATGACATCTGCGCACCCCTGCAGCCTGCCCAGCATCACCATGGATTTAAATCTCCTTAACTATTATTAATGCCTGTAAGACTGTAATAGGATGATAATAGCAGCATGGCAAAGTTCTTAGCTACAGCAAGTGAAAACAAGCCCGAATAAAGCAGCCACAGATACAGAAATGAAGGGGAAAAAAAAAAAAAAAAAAAGCTGCTTACCTTTGGAAGGCCTCAAATAAGCAGAAACCTCCAGCAAGAGATGCCCTCACCTCCACTGCCAACCCTTAAATGAGGGTTGGGAAGGGGTGCATCCTGCCTCCACCCCTTCATCGCTCAGCATTGCTTGCACCTGAGCTCCCCTGGGTTGGTCCTGCCTTCCCACCAGGTGCTCCATCACTGTTTCAGGCTGTGACTGAGCATTGCCACTACAATGCCCCTAATGAATTCATTAAGTTAGCTATATAAGATAAAATGAAGAGCTCTGAAAGTCATACTGTCTGAAAGAGTAAAAGTAGAATAGCTCGTGCTGCTGTGCATGCAGGGCCATAGAAGCTGCTACTGACATCAGCCTCCTTCGTGTACTCAGAGGGCAAGCAGAAGCAGAGGAAAAGGTCTCTATGGAACAAACACTTGGTATTTTAAAAGTCATTCCTAAAGCAAAAGTGCACAATAGGAAACCACTGCCAGTTACAAATACTGCAAGTGAAAAGAGATGTGTTGGAGGTGTGAGTTGTGCAGCTCGTCCCACTGATGCCCTGTGTACATTTCACATGGTGTCTGAGCGTTCAAGTGCCTGTCAGGAGGGCACTTCTGAAAAGCAAGTGCCAGCCCTGCGTGCTCGGGTATCTCCAAATGTACGCCGTGCTTCTTGGGCTCATGCAAAGGTGGAAAGTAACCCAGCTGTCTGCCTGTAATACTCGCTGTCTGGCAAGGAAGCGTTTGTCATTACTCTCTTTATTGGCTATCAAGACAATTACTATACATGATAAAGGATTTCCCACCATCCTTGAGGATAAGAAGGATGGCACAGAGAAAGCTCTGTGTTCTTTCCACGTTCCCAGAACAAGCCTTGTCTGCACAGGGGGACTTTCCTGCAGCCCCAGTGCAGCAGCCACAGCAGCAGCGCTGCTCCACGCCTCAAAGGAAAGCTCACTTCCAGAAGAAACTGCCTTCAGGTATTAATCCAACTCTCTTCTGAGGCTTCCCATCATTTCTAGCTGTTGTGATTACTCTTGAGATAAAATCAGTCAACGTGTGAAATGTAACGAGAAAAACTTCTATTACACAACAGTATTGAACCGTCAGATACTTTCTGAGTGTTGCCAAGATGTTTGAGATGTGAGGAAATGGCCCTGAGGGGAAAAGGTCATTAGATTACTAATGCATGATGCTATCCAGCTGCCTTCCAAACCTGCAGGCAGTCTCTGCAGAAGGTACTTCACAACAATCATTCAAATGCCTTCTGCCCAGCAGTGAAAAGTCCATCAATGGCATCTGGAAGGTTTAAGGAGAGTGGAAGAATTGTTGCCATGGCCATTTCTGCACAACTGCAGCCCAGCAAAAACAATCAGGTGTGTCAGACAGAAGATGACAATGAGACGGCCTGCAAGAAATGATGGGGAAAGCATCTTCCAGCTCACCTGCTTAATCAAGACGCTCACCTGCATCTTTGTGAAGTGCCAGCAGGTGTGAGCCAGCAACAAGTCTGCACAGGGGCTGCTGCAGAGACACACGGCTGTATTAGAAATTGGGATTTATAGTGGGAGCTCTGAGCAACCTCAACAGGTGACATTCCACCCAGGTACAGAGTTGCAAAGTCTGAGCACTGTAATCACAGTTACAAGCACAAAGAAAATAGTAACCTGCATGCAGACGTGAGCTACACCAAATTACACACAGTGCAGATTCCCACAGCTAGCAGCCAGATATAACAGTCACAGTGCCATTCCTCCTGACTGAAGCAGTCTGTGCCTCCTGGTCAGTTCAGCCCTGACATCCCTGTCCTGCTCCATCGCCTGGCAGATTTATCAGAAAGGACAGCATGTGAACGTGATGTGAGCAACGTCCTGCAGGGTGGTTTAGTGTGGCAAAGGCATGGCAAGCTGCAGAGTTTGTGCTGTAAGATTTGTAGCAAAATAAAACCTATTAATGTAGCAGCTGGCATGTTGTTTGTCATCGTCCTTTAGTGCCTAGGAACAAAATCGCCCTCTGCTTGGCAAGTGCTCCATGTGATTTCATTAATGCGTCTCTGGCTGTCAGTCCTGTTGTTCTTTGTGGGAATGCACCGTGAAACTGAGTGCATGTTATAACCCACAACACATCTGCAGCACTTTCACCAGTGCACAGCATGAGATACCTGCACCAACACTGATCCACACACCTGTATGCAGCAGGATGCAGCAGGAGCATTTCTAGCCTATTTTAGCAATAAAAGGCCTGGAGGGAGAGAGAATCTCTGATATGGCAAGAAAATGTGCAGCAGAAAGGCCCTATTTCAGACAGCTGGAAAATGGAACAAATTTTCCTGGATAGCAGCCCTGAGTTCAGTAGGAACAAAGAATAATGTTTCAGAAAGAAGCAGGGGAAAGCAGCAGCCCTGAGAGAATGAGCAACCCCACAGGTGTGCTGAAAAGCAAACTGATGTGGGTTTGTATTGTTGTGAACTAATAGATTCACTTGTACAACAAGAAACCCACCTCACACTGCGCTCTGGAACACAACAGGATGTTGGTTCTGATGCAGGTCGGACATTAGGAAATACTTCTCCAAGAGATGGTCAGGCATTGGAACAGGCTGCGCAGGGACCGGCCCTGCATGTGTCCAAGAAATGTTTAGGTGTTGTATTGAGGGATATGGCTTAGTGGGAAATACTGGTGGTAGGTGGATGGTTGGACTGGACGATCTTGGAGGTCTTTTCCAACCTTGGTGATTCTATGATTCCCCTAAAATTATCAGATTTTGGTTTCACGTTAGCAAAATGGTTTTAAGTATTCACACCTTGAAGTCACTCTCTTCTTCTCTGTGCTAGATTTGATAGAGTTCTTCTGTGTTCTGATTGACACAGAAAATGAGTAACTCCATCTATTCATTTCATTCATATTCATATCTTTTCATTTCCTGAAGTGAAAACAAAGCATTCCAGCTAAACTTCAGTGATATGACACTGATCTGCTGCAGTTATTGCTACAAAGTGCAAGACTGGTGGAAAGAGATTCAGGCATAAAATATTTCAAAATCAAGTAAAAGCAGCCATACTCTGCAATGCTTGAGGAACCACATTTGGAAAGACAAAAGATACAACCAGGAAACTAAAATGGAAAGAGGAGGGAGCAATCCTTTTGAGATTCAAGCAACAGCAACGCACTGAGCATGGACCAGAATTCTGCACTACACACAGAGCAACCCCATCTCTGCTTCCTCGCTCGGGGGTCTCTGAGGTCTGCACCACCTGGAACCCCTGGTACAGCTGCATCCAGACTCTGCCCTTCAGGAATGGCTCAGTGACACACACCCAGAGTGGTAAATACTCTTTTATTTTGTTATTGTTGTTTTTTTTTCTTCCAGTTTTTGCTATTTAAAAAAAAAGTCAATATCTGAAGGACTCTTGGATTAATCGCGGAATTGATCTTAGCGACCCTCCCACACGAGTCTCATTGATCAGCTCTGTTAACAAGCCCTACCGGTGCCTTATAGAATCATCACAAGAACAAGAGGAGAGGAATTGTGAGCCCTGACATCCTTAATAAGGCCTCCATTATTCTGAGCCATGTGTGCTGCCCTGGACTGGCAGTGGGATGGGTGCCTTGGGAACTCACACAGCTTACCGAGATCTCTGAAGAAAAAGAAGCCAGCAGCTCAGGCAAATCCACCTCTTACCAACAAGACCTAAGATGATCCTCCAGCAGCTGTACGGCCCTGCTCTGCTAAGAAATTTCAGTGAGGTGTTTTAGGCAAAACAAGTTGGAGGTGGAAAGGCAAGCAGGATGGTTTTATTCACCTCCACACTCAAGGAACTCCAGCAGAAAAAGTGCTGATATTGGGTACCACTGCACAGCTCTCCATTTTTGTTAACATGAGGAATTTAAATTGTGAGCGTAGGGCTGCTACCGCAATGAGCTCGTGGCCATTACACTGCCACCAGCATCAAAGCTCGTGCCATCACCTGCCTGCCATCTTCAGAAATGCACGGAGTATTATGTCATATGTCAGACTTCTCTGCTGTGCCAGATCCTCACAACCAAACCTCACACAATATGATAAGGTAACTACTTGCCAAGGTAACTACTCTTCCAGAGGGATACGATATCCAACTGTGGTCTCTGTGCACTCTCACCTCACAGGCAATCTGCCCCAGGTAACTGAGGCACCCATAGACCTGAAGGGTCTCCATGCTTTTGTACCCTCATCTAAAACGTACCTGCCTGGTGGTTGCTCAGGGACGGGGCTGCTCTGCATGGAGTTAGGAACTCTGGATCAACTCAGCATCACATTGCTCCAGCCTGCAGAATGGAAACACAGAATGGAAGAGGCCAGTAAGATTGTCTTTAGGATGTTTTCAGAATCTGAAGCTCAATCTAAGTTCCTAACAGAATTTTTGAGTTATAATGAAGCTGCTAGAGCTGTATTAAAAACATGTTAACCATTGTATTTCCTGAGAATAATACAGAATAGAATGTGAGATTATCTAGGTGACTGTGGAGCAGTGTCCTTCAAGCACTGTCAGTAATAATCTTCCAAAGGCAATAGGCAAAGCAGTAAATACAAGGGACGTAACAGTCTGACAGCCTCCAAGACCCATTCAGGGCATCCTCCTTTCTTTGATGCTGCCCTCCTCCCCGGAAGAACGATGCTTCGGTTCTACTGATGGAGGCAAAGGCACCTCCATTAGCTTTCATCCAAAGGCACTGCAGCCAAGCAAAGAGGCTGAGCTGCAGCTCCTTCGTGTGGATGCAACTTCAGAACACGCACATAAGTAAAAGCTGCAAACGGTTACATGCATAATCCATAGGTTGTATTTCAATCCAAATCTTCAGATTTTTAATTGTCCCCATGTATTGATGGGGATGCAAATGCAGACCTCAGGTACATGCATGCTTTCACAACAGGCACAAGGTTTATCTACTGAAATTAAGCTGCACTTGGGCTCTAAATTGCATAATGTCATTTGCTTGTAAGGGAGGTGACAGAACTGCTCTTGCACAGAGACTAGTGATGTGATTTTACACATTACTACAGGAAACTCGCTTTAAGAGTCTGGTTTTGATCAACAGACTTCTCACCTACAATTTTGTGCAGGAAAGATTCAAGTTAAATTAATACAGGCTGTTCTATACTGAATGAGAGCTGGAATGGGAACCTTTCCAAGGCTCAGCAACTTGTATGTGTACCCTTGTGCTTCCTTAACTATCAAAGTATTGGCTATTCATTTTCTATTCTCCTTGCCTTACGTTCCCACGTAGCAACAACCCAACACTAGAGTTTCACTGATACAATCCTTAATACACAAATCCCCCTTCCTTGGAAGGACACTATTGAAGTGATTTTGGTGCGTTTGAACTGCTGCGTCCCTACAGGGGAAATGAAATAGGAAAAATAAGCCAAAAAAAAGTAAAATTGAAAGCAATCAAATGACACCAGGGAAAACAAAAAAAAACCAACCCTTTATATCCCAGCAGAAAACTAGGGAAGTTGATATACTATCCTACACTATACTTACTATGATTCAGAAGTCTCAGTGGAGCTTATGAGTGCTTCCTTGAGATCCATGAGGTTAATGAATGTTGATGGACATATTCCATGTTCTTATAAGTGAAAACTGAGCCAGTATCATCACCCAGGGGGAAATTCAGCTTCAACACTTGGTGCTGGAGAAGAGATCCCCCAACACAGAAACTCTTGCAGACCTTCAGCATTGGCTGCTAATGCAGCTCTTCTACCCACGAGCAACACTCAAGGCTGCTGTCAGCACTTTGCCTAGCACAGCCCCCATCCCTCATTCACTGCTTTTACAAAACTTCAAAGGTTCCATAGCCCAGCCTCAGTCTGTAGCCCAAGAAACAACGTGGTGGAACAAGTCTAAAGAACCCCTAAAGCTGATTTAATAGCATGAGCCAGATCTTCGTTCTGTGTGGCAGGAAGAGTTACGTGACACAGCAGCTGTGATCCTGAAGAAAACCTTATTATTTAAAAATTAGCGATTATTAAGCCAGTCAAGAACAAAAAGCACTGCCATGACAAGGTGATGCCACACCGAGTGTCAGCCCCAAACGCTTAGAATGCTTCTACAGTTTGTTATTCAGAGAGTAACTCAGCACATCTGCAAAGTGCAAGTAACGATGAGATAATCCAAACTGAAAGCACATGTGTGTAATAAATACCAGAAGGGCACACGTTGTTCTATACAGTAATCAGATTCATAACAACAGAGCGATTTTTCTTTCCCTGGGGTGTGAAGAACAAGACTATAAATCAGAATGTGAATACTTAAAGATCACACTTGAATAACTTAATTGTGTACAGCAGTGATGGGATGAAAGGAAACTCAATCAAAAGCAAAACTGTTGTTAGATTTTATCATCCTCAATACATTTCTTTGACACCGTTCTGATAAATTCTCTAGATAGGAAAACAAAATGTTGGCTTACCTTATTA